GAACTACGTGAAACAATGCTGTATTCGAAATACAGAAGGAACGCTGCAGTGCACAAAGGAGACGAGGAGTAACCAACAATCAGCGATATTGTAATACAAAGCGTCCATGAGCTTCTGAGGGAACTACCTCGTTGGACGAACACATTTGAAGACCCTGCAACATGCCAAAACATGTTGCTCGGAATTCCAACGCCACGGATCAACCTGACTGCTGCGTGTTCGCGATCCTGAACCGTTCTAAAGCGCCATTCCTACGAATCCCACCCCCTTCGGGGAGGAGGTTTACCCCTCCCCCTAGCTTCTCCCCTGGACCTGGACGGGGCACCCCGCGAACGGTCAAAGCATCTAAAACGGCCTCGGCGAGGAAGCCAAACTCATTGGTTGTACTAGGGTTTTGGCTCCATTTTGGCTTCTTGGGGGGGCAACGGTAATTCAGGAACTCCCCTTCTTTGATCGATCTGCTCCGAAATGGCCCACAAACGCTCCCAAGGCTCCCAGGGGTGCCCCATTAGGGCTCCAAGAGGTGGCCACGAGACCCCCAAGAGGCCCCAAGAGGCCCCCCGAAGGTACCCAAGACACTCCAAGAGGCCTCGGCGAGAATGCCAAAATCATTCATTTTACTAATGTTTTGGCCACATTTTGGCCTCCCAGGGATGGGGGCACTGATTAAGATGACTTCAGGAACGCCTGGGAGAGCCCACAATGACCTTCAAGACGACTCAAGATACCCCAAGATGCCTCATGATGGCTCCCACGATGCTCCAAGAGGCCCCAAGACCGTTCCAAGACGGCTCCAAGTGGTCAAAGAGCTCGCCCCGAAGAGGCCCAAATCCTCACCAAACCTTGCGAAAATGAATGTGTTCGGCTTTCTCGCCTTTTCACTTCCGATGGCCATCCGAGGCCTCAAGATGGCTCCAAGATGGCCGAAGAGGGCTCCAAGAGCGCTCCCAAGGCTTCCAAAAACGCTTCAAGAGGGCTCCAAGAGGCGCCCAGGAGGCCCCAGGAGGCGCCCAAGAGGCCTCCACGAGGCTCCCAAGAGACCCCCAAGAGGCCCCAAGCTCTGCGAAGCACCCAAGACGCTCTAAGAGGCGTCCTGGACCGCCAAGATGCCCCCAAGACGCTCCACGAGGCCTCCACTGGGGGACCCTTCCTCTGTGTGCTGCCCACTTCCCTGATCGAGGAAATTCCTCTGTGTGCTGCCCACTTCCCTGATCGAGGCTCACTTCCCTGATCGAAGCGTCTAGAATTCAACACCGCGAGCCAACGCAACTGCTGCGTCACCCGAATCCCTCGAAAACGCAATTTTGATACGCTGATCAGGGGGATCCGTGGAATTCTCGCAAATGGTTAAAACGAGTACGCGGCACAATGGCAAAAAATAATCGCCCTCAATCCGTGAAACTCTTGAACTACTGCACGCGGCGCTACAGCGAGAACCGCATCTTGAAAACGGGCCACCCTCAATCCGTGAAGCTGTTGCAGATTTTTAAAACGAATGCACGCTGAGCTAAGGCGAAAACCACATTTTGAAAACGGTCCGCCTTCCATCTTTGTTGCCAATGTTTACATAAACTTCAGGATCAATAATGGTGAGAAAATCGCAACCGTAACGTCCGGCCTGCCCAAAAAACTTGACCCGGGGTGCGACAGGGAGAAAGTATTTAGGAGAGAGAGGAATAGAGGCGATGGAGAATGAGGAGGAAAGAGGAAAGGGGAGGACAACGAACCAAAAGAAGGACCGGAAGAAGGCATCCGTGCAGCTCGTGCACGGGCCGAAGCGCGAAGACAAAAAACGTCTGGAAAGACGCACGGGAAAATCAAAAGGCGATACCAAGAAACGCACAAGAAGCGGAAAGCTAATGTGCGGGTAAAGGTGCAGAAGGCCATTGAAAGCGATGTCTGTAGTTATTGAAACCAATGTTTCGCAGTTGTTGAAACCAGTGTCGTAGTTATAAACCAATGCTCGTAAGACTGAAAGCAACGGTCGTAGTTACTGAAACCGTCTTCGTGGTTATTGCAACCAATTTTTGTTATTGAAATCACTGAACAATTATTGAAAACAAGGTTTAGTTATTGAAACCAGTGTTCAGTTATTGAAACCGTTGTCTCCCTGATTGGTTCGTCGGGGTGTCTTGGGTCAGAACTAGCGTCGCCTGGATACAGGCTTGGATGCGGAATCGGAATGTGTGTGTGTGTGTGTGTGCGAATATATGTGTAAGTGTCCGTTGCTCTCGGGATGGCCCGCATGGCTGGACGCGCTTCGATGGCATCTTGTGATGTACGCTGGCGCCGTCCCATTGATCAAAGCACGCTTGGTCGACGTTTCTCCTCCCTCCTCCTCATCCACCTCCGTTGCCCCCCCCCCGCACACCAGGGAGGCATGAAAAACATGATGGGCACATGTTGTGCGAGCGTGAACCCCGTGTCGATCATTCACCGGTGTCTTTGGCTTCCAGAAAAGCATTTTGGACAAATGGCGGCACGCTGTTAGCCATGGCCCCGACTGAGAACTTCGAGATATCAGCACACACCAACATCTCGAGCACCAAGCGAGCCGATCGCGAGCTTAACCGCATGCGTGGCTACCCGTTCCCAGTGGTGCGCGCGCTCGGCGAAGGAACGCGACGCCGCCAAGGGGGGGGGGAAACTCAGAATTTCCTTTAGAAATGTCAACTGTTTTTCCCCCGACCGTTTGGCCTCGGTGTCGTATGGGGAACGGGAGAAAAGAACATCGTGTGCTTATGTAGGTCTGTGCCATGTGTGGTGTGTAGTCGTGCGCTAATGTGCTCGGTGTGCTGGTCGTGGTCGGGGGGTTCCAGCAGCCGAGGGCGCACGTGCGCACGAGGAAATCATTCAATAGTAACAGGAGGCGAAAAAAGGCGGGAGGAAGAGGAAGCGAAGAAAAGGGAGGAACGTCAACACACACACACACCAGCATACCAGCACACCACACACCAACACACACCGCACACACCAGCACACACCAGAACTCCCGAACACATCAGCACAAACCAGTACACCAGCACACCACACACCAGCAGCCACCACCAAACCATCACACTGGCACACCAACACACACCAGCACGCACCAGCGCACAACATCACACCAACACGAACCAGCTCACACCTGCCCACAAATTCACCACACCAGCACACCACACACCCGCACACACCACCAAATCACCACACTTGCACACTAACGCACACACATACACACGCACGCACCAGCGCACGCTAGCACACCAACACGCACCAGCTCACCCGAACACAGCGCACACCAGCCACACGCCAATACACCAGCACGAGGACATGCCAGCATCCCCCCAGACGGAGGTTGACCGCCGGGCGGTCCAAAGGATCCAGCGCCAGCCAGCGGTCCGTGTGCTCGCTGGCCCCTCGCTGCCTCCAATCGGGAAGGGTGGGCAGCAGTCCGAAGGTCAGCCGGGCGCACATCGCAGACTCGGACGGCCAAGAACATCAAGGCTTAAAGGGAGATGCACATTGAGGGGGAATTAACCACGGGGGCCCTCGATGCACGCACGACTCGGGCACGTCATCTCCGTGCTGCGCACGCCCAAGCTTTCCAAACTCCTCGGGGAACCCCATGTGCGCCCCCTGTCTTTCCAACGGCGGGGGCCCGGAGGGCGCTTCGGAACTCTTCCATGTCCAAATGCCCAGCGCAACTTGATCGAGCAATTTGCTCTGAATCTGACACGCGGCACCTCCCGCCGCGGCTGTTGACTGCAACAAAGAAGGCAACACTGAACCATGCGGAAAACATGTGTATGTATTGAATCGTAAGTGGGCATCTAATCTTATGAGCACGTCGTGTGGATTATTCCGCGTCCCGGGCGCAGGCATTGAACATCTATCGATGGAGCGCGTTGTGGGGCCACGATTTGTGTGAGGGGTGTGCGGACATGGGCGGGGCGGCGCCATGCGATCTGTCCCACTGGGACCCTCGGCGGAGATTTTTTCCTGGGGCCGCGAAGTGTGGGAGGGGTGCGCCGACATGGAGCAACGAAACCTGTGAAGGGCGCGTGTGCCGACGTGGGCGGGACGGCGCCGTGCGATCCGCTCCAAAAGAGCCCTCGGTGGAGCCCCTTCATTCCTGGGGACACGAAGCATGTGAAGGCTTTTTGTTCAAGCGAGCGGGGCGGCGCAGTGCGACCTGTTACGGATTGAGGGCCCTCGGCGGACGGGGCCACCGGAGAAGACGAGGAGGGGGGAGGAGGAAGGAGTGAGGATGCGCGGCGCTGCGGGATTCGAAGCAGGGTCCCCGCTCCGGGTGTAATGAGTAGAGAAAAGAAGCAACACATGAACATAAACTTCTGGCGCTCCGCGCGGATTTCTTGGATCCGCGCTGGACCCCCCTCCCTGGCGCGCTCCGCGCGCCAAGGGCGGCGCCGGAGGCGCCGCTATGGGGGCCCAGCACGGATCCCAGAAATCCGCGCGGAGCGCAAAAGTTTATGTCTATGTTTTTTCTTCTTCGAGTGAAGCATGATCTTGCAATGCATGGATCCATGCCCCACGGTCGCATGGCTTTCTTCAGCGGGCGCGAAACTTGACAAGCACAATCAAGTTTTGTGCCGAAGCCTTTGCCACGGGCATCGGCATCATTGTACTCGCGTGCGCCGCAGCCTTTGCAACAGGTCCACGGGTGAGTCGGCATGAGTCCCAACTTTCGTTATCATTAAGGGCAGTAGTGTGGCCTACAGCTGCAGTGGTATCCCTCAAGTGCCGCGTTAAGGCACCGGGACAGCTCGGGCGAATGTGGCCTGAACGCGAAAGAGAGCGAGGGTGGAACGAGGGAGAGGGAGGAGGCGGAGGAGGCATTAGTATCAGGGACCAGGGAGGAGGAGGGAGGAGGCATGAGGGATATGGGGAAGGAGGAAGAGGGGGGATCAGGAGGAGGAGGGAAAGGATGACGAGGAAACACGCGGAGAACGTGGAGGAGGGCGAGGACGACGACTGCGGCGACGAGAGCAGGACGCCGGCGGCGGCGTTGGCGAAACGCACGTGCCCGCAGTGCGCGCGCGCGCGCCAAACAGGACCGAGCGCACGCCTAGGCGGCGAGTCCACCGCGGTCGCCGCGCCGCGGGTCCGGCACGCGCACCTCACCTCGAGCGGGCGGGTGGGTTTGCGGAGGAGGAAGGGGGGAGGGGGAGGAGGAGGAAGGAGGAAGGGAAGGACCAGAGTGTTCAAGTTTCTAGTGTGCGAGCTGAAAGGGGCCTCAACTGAGCTCTCAACTTTCCAATAGATCCAACATCCGCGCAACTGTTGCAGCCGTTGCATCCGCGAAGGCTCAAATGTGCACTGCAACGAGATGTCCATTTTGGGAAAGGAAAAACGCACCCGGCTGGCGCAAGCTTTTAAAACGAATGTGCGCGGCGTTCAGGGGACAATCGTATCTTGGAAAGGAGACACCTTGCATCCTTGACTACATGGGAAAACGTGAAGAAAATGCGCAGCGCGGAGTCGATACCCACATTTCGACAACCACATTCCTCCACCCCAGAAGCCGTTGCAAAACTTTTGGGGCGAACGTGCGCGGCGCTGCGGCGAGAACCACTATTTGAACACGATCCCCTTCTCCATAATTGAAACTATTCAGGCTGCCAGGTCTCAGCAAGCATTGTGAGAATTTGTTTCTGCTTCTTGGACAATGAAAAACAATCATATCCGAATGAAAACGACAATAGTTACTATTGTCATTTTCAAGCTTCAAGACCAGAAAGAGTGACCCATCTGAAGCGAAACGTCTGGCCCGCATTAGCGACACGTCTGGGGTGCGACGCGGAGGAGCTATGCATCAGGAACTGGATGGAGATGGGGGAGGGATGATGATGATGATGAGGAGGAGGAGGAGGAGGAGGAAAAGGAGGAGGAGGAGGATGGGGGAGGAGGAAGAAGACGATGCGGAGGGAGGAGGAGGAGGGAGGACCACGAGGAGGAGGAGGAAAAGGAGGAGAGGAGGGGGGGAGGAGAACCAGAGTAAACCCACGATGCATCAACGATGCTGCAAGTTACCCCATACCCGTCCTCATGAGTCCTTGCATGCTTTCCTCGTTCATCGCAAGATACGTGCATATAAACATAATCACCCTATTCTAAGCGTGCTATTCGGGCGATAACAAAAATTCAAACATGAGCCGCTCTCCCTACTTGGAACCGTTGCGTAAGTTTGACGTTGTAGCCGTTCAATTCGAGAGATTATCAAGCGATGGCTCCATGTTGAAAAGGGGCCACCCTCCATTCGTGAAAGTGTTGCGTATGTTCAACCAGTGGATCGGTCGAGTTGCGCAAGTATCAAGCGAAGGTAGCATTATGAACATGTGCCAGTATCCATACTTGTAGCGCGGCGCTAGAAGGCGAGAATGCGCCTCTTTGTGCGATAAGCGTGCCACTTTGCATCCGTGTATGTGCTCGGCGCAAGAGCAAACTGACCAGTTGTGAACATGTCTGAATTTCCATTCCACCGTTGGCAAGCTTTTGCCACGACTGTTCGCGGCGCTGATGCGACAACGCCGCTTTCGCCACTTGCCGCCATCAATTCCTGCATCGATTGCTAGATGTAACAGCAAATGTGCGCGGCGCCGAGGCGAGAGCATCGTTCCGAAGAGGTGCCGACTCTCATCCCCGCAAGGCTTGGTGGGCCCGAGCTCACAGTCGGGGCGTTGACCTAAGGAACCCTAAATAAGGAACCCTACATAAGGAACCCTAAATAAGGACCAGCCTCGATTTCCGATGGAAAACCTCAGGAAAACCCGAGGCAAGCTGCGAAACACTTAAGGAACGCGGAGCCTCTCCCCAACGAAAAGGGTTCCTTCTTCAAGACCCCTACTGTACGGCGAGGAACTCCCGGGCGGAACGCCCAGGCTGCCCCACGGACACGCCGAGGGGTGACGCGAGGGGCCACCGAGCCAGCTGCTCGCGGCTGCCTCTTCGAGCACGCCCTGCGGAGCCACACAGGAGCCCCCGGTGCATCGGGGGCGAAGGTGGGAGGAGGAGCGTCCTGGGCCCTTAGTGGGCCCTGGAAGCGACAAGGCCGGTTTTTTACCGGTTCCGTTCTGCCGAATTTTTGCCGGTTCCGACGCCGTTTTCTTACCGGTTGCGTCGCCATTTTTTGACCGGTTCCCGCTCCGGTTCCAATCCTGGAGCCGTTTTTTTGCCGTTTCCGGTCACCGTTTTTTTGCCGTTTCCAGTTTCAAGGGGCATTTTTTGGAAACGGTAAAAAACGGCCCGGCCGTTTCCAGGGCCCACAAAGCCTGGGCCATGGGATCCACGGCTCTCTGGCTCAGCCCACGGATCAGCACCGGGGTAGAGTGCGCGAAGGGCACGGCGCCCGCTCACTCTGCTGGTGCCGATCTCTGCGACAGCTCGCAGGGGTCCGAGTTCCAGCGCGACGCATGCTAGTAGTGGAAGTTTCTCACCCCCGCCCATGGCTCGCCCTCCCCCCTTTTTGAATCAGTGGGCTCGGAGCGCCAGGGCGATGAGGAAATGGGGAGGATGATGGCAGCCCAGAGTCCGGAGGGGTTGGAGTAGGATAGTTGCGAGATCCGCCCCTTCGATGGTGAGGGGGGGGGACAGGGGGAGGAGGAGAAAGGGGAGGAGGGGGAGAGGAGAAGGGGAAGGTGACGAGGGGAGGATGATGATGAGGAGAGGAAGAGGAGGGGAAGACAGAGGAGAAGGGGGAGGAGGAGGAGGGGGTCTCCAGGGGTCTCTGGAGACCTATGGAGGTCCGTCCAGGCCGCCCGACGGCTCAGACGAAAGGCTTTGAGCTCCTGGGGCTTTGCTGTGCTCCTGGGGCTCTGCTGCGCTCCTGCTCGTCAACGTGCGTCACGTGTGCGGAGCTGCACTGTCGATGCCGCGCTCTCCTGTGGCTTTGCTGTGCTCCTGCTCGCAGCGCACACCGCCAGAGGCCGCGGAGAGCTTGAGAGATCCACCTGCCACAAGAGCATCGTTTCGCCGATCCCCATTAGGGGGCCGCATGCGAACCCCACCCCTGCCCCCCACGATTTCTGAGGGGGAGGGTGGGGTTCACTTCTTCCGGGAAATCCCCCCCTCAGAAATCGTGAGGGGTAGGGGTAGGGTTCGCATGCGGCCCCCTACCCATCCCCACTGGCGTGGCCTTGGCCCCACTGGCCGGCTTGCCCCCCTGCATGATGGGGACACGGGCTGTTTGTTCCCTTCGGGCTGCGAAGGGCCCATCCCCACCCGGAGGGCGGAACTGTGGGACTGAGATACCATGGCCCTGTCAGGACGGGGACCCAAAATATATCAATGGGGGTCCAATATAAGAGTTTTTGCTGCAGTATTGGGATCCAAAGTCCCACTTCAAGTCGGTGAAAACGAATGTTGCTTGAGTTGGTTGCAGCAAATCGCAAGTAGACCAACATACCATCAATTTTCTAGGTTAGACGATACGGAACCTCCGCCATGTCCTTTGCACGTCCGACATGGGTACGGAAAAAGGGGCGCAAGGCCCAACAACAAACGTCGTCGAAAACCAATCGCAGCCGCTGTTGAGCAGGCGGCCTTCTGTCTCAACTGGACAGCGCCCGCGGCGACCCCGGGGGCGAGTCCGGTGCAAAATGGACAGGAACTGCTGTCGGTCTTCGTGCCCACTCTTTCCGTAGCCATTTCGATCGCCCCGATCTCCCTGCGCAGGCCTCAAAGCTCCCGACCCCGTCCTGGGGACCAGTTTTTCCACCCGGAGTCGTTCTTGGATGGGCCCCCTGGGCCGAAGACAGCACCGAGACGCAGTGACTTTCGAAAAGCCGCCTCTTGCCCAAGGCGCTGGACGGCTGCGCCGCTCCAGCACGGCATCGGGCCCTCCACCTCTCCCGGGGGGGCGCGCTCTCGCCTGCATCTCGCCGGGGGCCCGGCCTCCCGCGAGGAGCCGGCCCCCCCTTCGGAGGCCCGAGGGGGGCGCCCAGCGGGGCTCGACCCCCGAGCTCCCCTCGTCGGAGGTCTGGGCCCTCCCTCCCGTCTTGCGCAACTCATGCGCCGACGGTGCGCCACCGCAGCCGCAGGCGGGAGAAGGAGGAGGAGGAGGAGGAGGAGGAGGAGGAGGAGGAAGAGGAGGAGGAAGAGGAGGAGGAGGCGGGCCTCCCCGTCCCCCCGTCTCCCCCGCCCTACCTATGGTAGTGGTGGCGGAAGATCCGCCGACCCTGTCGGCGTGTGGACCCCCTGTCGGCGTGCGCTCAGTCGACGCATCCGTTGTCCTCTTTCCCTGCGTCTCCTTCGTCCCCTTTCCCTGCACTCTCCTCTTCAAGCCTGCCAGCGAGAGAAAACCGTAGCAACGTCGTACATAAGTCGAAGGGAAGCCCCTTCCCTTTGATCCCTCCCCCGCTGAGGGGGGGGGTCCCGGGGGGTCGCGGGGGTGTCCCTGGGGGGGGGGGGTCAGATACACATCCGCCCCTGGGCGTCCCGGAGCCCCAAAAAGCACCAAGACGCGCCAAGAGGGCTCCAAGCAAGCCCAAGAGGAGGACCACGAATCGACATTTCGAGCTTCCCGCCCCAAGAAGCCCCCGGAAGGCCCCAAGAGCCCCTCAAGGAACCCGAAGAGGCCCTCAAGAGACTCCCAAGAGGCCCAACAGAGGCCCCAACACGCCCGAAAACATCCGAGAGGCATTTCAACCACAACCCCAGCACGGTGGCGGAAAGGGCCGCAGGCCACAATGCTCCCTGTCTGTCTCTGCTACGACTCCCTAGGCCCACATGGGGAACATCTCCTTCGCCTTTTCCTGCTCCCTTCCACCTTAATCCCCCTCCTCCTCCTCCTCCTCCTCCTCCTCCTCCTCCTCCTCCTCGTATTCGTCGTCGTCGTCTTCAGGGTCGGCGGCACCAGCCGTAAGGCCTTATCAATACGGTGATGGCATTGGATAAGGAAACCTTCGATAAGGAATCCAGGGTCTGGAAGCCAATGGAAAGCCAATCACCGCCGCCCTCATCAGATAAGGAACCCTCCAGGGTCTGAAGCCTCCCGGGCTCGTTCCTCAACGAACGCCCCCCCCCCCCCCCCCAGTATTGGCCCATCACTATCATGGGGGAAGCGGGTCCTGAAGGCAGCGGGTCCCGGACACCCGGGGGCCCTCCCCCAGGACGAGCTCTTCCTCCCGAGCCGCTTTCTGACCCCTCCCCGGGCCCGCGGAGGGCCCCGAGGGCCCGGGACCCGGCAGACCACCTCGGGACCCGCCGCACTTCCACCTTCATCCCCCTCTCCTCCTCCTCCATCCTCCTCCTCCTCCTCCTCCCTCCTCCTCCTCCTCCTCTCCTCCTCCTCCTCCTCCTCCTCCTCCCTCCTCCTCCACCTCCTCCTCCTCCTCCTCCTCCTCCTCCTCCTCCTCCTCCTCCTCCCTCCCCCTCCTCCTCCTCCTCCGCCCCTCCCCCTCCTCCTCCTCCCCCTCCCCCTCCTCCTCCTCCTCCTCCTCTTCCTCCTCCTCCTCCTCCTCCTCCTCCTCCTCCTCCTCCTCCTCCTCCTCCTCCTCCGCAAAGGCCCCCCTCTGGCCGGTGGCGGCTCGCCCTCGGCCCACCAGCGGCTGCCGCGTCGGCATCACGGTGAGCTCCAGCACGTTCGCGCTCAGGGGCAGACCGCGCTCCCGGGCCGCCGGGCGGCGGCGGAGGAGGAGGAGGAGGAGGAGGAGGAGGAGGAGAAGGAGGAGGAGGAGGAGGAGGAGGAGGAGGAGGAGGAGGAGGGGGAGGAGGAGGAGGAGGAGGAGGGAGGGAGGAGGAGGAGGAGGAGGAGGAGTCAGGGTCGGCCTGGGCTTGCCTGGGAGGCACGGCGTGCGCTGCGGGGCGCTCGCGGGGCGCGAAGGCCAGCGCGCCTCGCGCCCCGCCCGGGTGACCGTGCCGCGTGGTCGCGCACCCCGCCGCGGCTGGAAGGATCGCGTCGCAAACAAAACAAATCACGACGGGAGGCTTTCGGCCGTTTCCGGCCGCTGGGGGCCCTCGCCGGGCCCCAGGACCGTCAAACAACGACTCAGGACGAGAAACTGGTCCCGGGGAAAGGGTCGGGACTTCCGGGGACCGCGTTGGACGGCGGGGGGAGGGAGGAGGGAGGGGAGGGGGAGAGGAGCGAACAGTAGGAGGATGAGAGGATGACGGAGGGGGGGTCGACGAGGATGAGGACGAGTGATAAGAAGATGCAGACAATGGAAGAGTGAAACCATGGAGGAGCAGAGGAGCAAGAGGAGGATGAGGAAAGAGGGATGGGGATGGGGAGGATGAACCAGAGAGGAGGGGAATAATAGGGTAGATGAGGGAACCTGGGATACGGTGGAGGAACATGAGGAAGAACATTAAGACATATTTTATGATAATGATGGGAATGAGGAGCCCGTACAATAAACACTCGCACAAGCAACCGTGCCTCCCCGCCCCTTAAGTCGCAATGTGCCAGTGGACGGGAGGAGAACACTTCCATGTTCAGCATTTCATCCAAGGACCCCAGCGCATCTCCTACGGTTTCTCTTCCTCCCTCGGCTCTCCTTCATCCTCCTCCTCCTCCTCCTCCTCTTCTCTACCTCCTGTTTCCCCTTCTCCTCTCTCCTCCTCCTCCCCCTCCTCCTCCTCCTCCTCCTCCTCATCTCCTGAATCTCCTCTTCCTCATCCAGCTCTTCCTATTCCTCCTCTCTGCAGCATGCTCTCCAGTGCCACTGCTGCTGGGAAGGCCCTGCACCTCATCCTTCCCACCTTGCCTTCTTCCTGGACTCGTGCCTTATTCGGCTGCTCGCCTGCACAGTCCTGCCTGCCCAGGCCTTCCGCCTGCACGTCCGTCGCCGTCTGCCTGCTCCCCCCCTCCTGCCTCTCCATTTCTCTTTCGTTTTTTGTTTTGTTGTTGTTGTTTGTTTGTTTGTTTGTTTGTTTGTTTGTTTATTTGTTCGTGTGTTTTTGTTTGTTGGTTTGTTTTGGTTTCTATCTCTCTCTATTCCTCTCTTTCTCTCTAAATCTCTCTCTCTCTCTTTCTCTCTCTCTCTCTCTCTTTCTCTCTGTCTGTAGTTGCGTTTTTGCTATATCTATATATATATATATATATCTATTACTCTTTTCTCCTCTCTGTCTCTCGTGCCCCGCGAGCCTCCGCGGCAACTTGCTCCGTGGGCCTGGCGCCGGGCCGCCGAGAGGGGGGCCGCCCCCCAACAAGGGCGGCGCCTCCCCTCCCCGGGGGCTCCGAGGCGCGCGCGCGCGCAACGCCGCGGTGCCCCTTGCCATCTCTCCGGGGTGCGAAGTGGGCGACTTTTGCCATGCTTCTGGCCAGAGGAAGAAAAAAGTGCCGAGACCGCTACCCTTCGCTCGTGTTCGATTTCTTCGGCCTCCTCGGAGGCTCTCGTTGTCACCGCTGGATTCGCCTCGAAATCCTGGTCAGAACGCGACCCGGGAGAGGTCCGGGGAGTAGCGGTATCGGTACCTTTTGGTTTCCCCCTCTAGTCGGGGCGTTGACCTAAGGTGAAGGGGCCCTGGGACACACAGATGAACAGACACAAGTGACAGGACTCCCCCTATCTTCCTATGTTCTCTGGGTTTGTGTCTTCCCCCCCCACTTCCCATGCCTTCCCATATTTTCGGAGGAATCGACGATTAATTGTGTCTGTTTGTTTTCCTCCCTCCTGATAAGGAGCCCCAAATAAGGAACGGGGCGCCTTTTTTATCCACAAGTGAAGCCTCGGCTTCCCATCGAAGGCCTACGGAAAACCTTGGGCAAGCTTTGAAACAATCAAGGAACACCGAGACCCTCTCCAGCGAAAAAGGTTCCTCCTTCAGCGCCCCGACTGTATCGCCGCATCCCGGTGCAACATTTGCGACTTCTTCTTCTTGCTTTCCAATGGTCGCAATCTAAGTCTATTTCCCCACATCCTGAGTGGGGTTCTTGTTTTCCCAGAACACCCTCTCCTTCCCACCCACCTCCCGCTCCATCTTCCATACAGCACAAAATTATTCCTACCACACACACCATACCATACCATAGTTCCTACCACACATACCATACCATACCATACCATACCATACACCATACGTACCATACCGTACCATACCATACCATGGCGTACCATAGCATACCATACCATATCACACCAATGCCACACCGTACCATACCATACCATACCTCCAGTACCATACCATACCATATCATACCATACCGTACCATACCATACCTACCATACCATTCCATACCACTCCATACCGAAAACCATATTACTTACATGGTTTCGTGCCCCTCCCACCCCTCCAGGAAGGCCCCGCCTGAGCGAGGAGGGTATCGGAAAACCATACTATTTACATGGTTTCGTGCCCCTCCCACCCCTCCAGGGAGGCCCCGCCTGAGCGAGGAACGCATCGGAAAACCATACTATTTACATGGTTTCGTGCCCCTCCCACCCCTCAGGGAGGCCCAGCCTGAGCGAGGAGGGTATCGGAAAACCATACTATTTACATGGTTTCGTGCCCCTCCCACACCTCCACGGAGGCCCCGCCTGAGCGAGGAGGGTATCCGACAATCATACTATTTACATGGTTTCGTGCCCCTCCCACCCTCCAGGGAGGCCCCGCCTGAGCGAGGAGGGTATCGGAAAACCATACTATTTACATGGTTTCGTGCCCCTCCCACCCCTCCAGGGAGGCCCCGCCTGAGCGAGGAGGGTATCCGAAACCATACTATTTACATGGTTTCGTGCCCCTCCCACCCCTCCAGGGAGGCCCCGCCTGAGCGAGGAGGGTATCCGAAAACCATACTATTCCATGGTTTCGTGCCCCTCCCACCCCTCCAGGAGGCCCCGCCTGAGCGAGGAGGGTATCGGAAAACCATACTATTTACATGGTTTCGTGCCCCTCCCACCCTCCAGGGAGGCCCCGCCTGAGCGAGGAGGGTATCGGAAAACCATACTATTTACATGGTTTCGTGCCCCTCCCACCCCTCCAGGGAGGCCCCGCCTGAGCGAGGAGGGTATCGGAAACCATACTATTTACATGGTTTCGTGCCCCTCCCACCCTCCAGGGAGGCCCCGCCTGAGCGAGGAGGGTATCGGAAGACCATACTATTTACATGGTTTCGTGCCCCTCCCACACCTCCAGGGAGGCCCCGCCTGAGCGAGGAGGGTATCCGAAAACCATACTATTTACATGGTTTCGTGCCCCTCCCACCTCTCCAGGGGTGGGCCGCCTGAGCGAGGAGGGTATCGGAAGACCATACTATTTACCTGGTTTCGTGCCCTCCCACCCCTGCAGGGAGGCCCCGCCTGAGCGAGGAGGGTATCCGATAACCATAATATTTACATGGTTTCGTGCCCCTCCCACCTCTCCAGGGAGGCGCAACCATACTATTTACATGGTTTCGTGCCCCTCCCACACTTCCAAGGAGGCCCCGCCTGAGCGAGGAGGGTATCGGAAAACCATGTGTTTACATGGTTTCGCGCCCCTCACACCTCTCCAGGGAGGCCCCGCCTGAGCGAGGAGGGTATCCGAAAACCATACTATTTACATGGTTTCGTGCCCCTCCCACCCCTGCAGGGGGGCCCCGCCTGAGCGAGGAGGGTATCCGAAAACCATACTATTTACATGGTTCGTGCCCCTCCCACCTCTCCAGGGAGGCCCCGCCTGAGCGAGGAGGGTATCCGAAAACCATACTATTTACATGGTTTCGTGCCCCTCCACCCCTCCAGGGAGGCCCCGCTTGAGCGAGGAGGGTATCGGAAGACCATACTATTTACATGGTTTCGTGCCCCTCCCACCCCTCCAGGGAGGCCCCGCCTGAGCGAGGAGGGTATCCGAAAACCATACTATTTACATGGTTTCGTGCCCCTCCCACCCCTCCAGGGAGGCCCCGCCTGAGCGAGGAGGGTATCGGACAAACCATACTATTTACATGGTTTCGTGCCCCTCCCACACCTCCAGGGAGGCCCCGCCTGAGCGAGGAGGGTATCCGAAAACCATACTATTTACATGGTTTCGTGCCCCTCCCACCCCTCCAGGGAGGCCCAGCCTGAGCGAGGAGGGTATCGGAAAACCATACTATTTACATGGTTTCGTGCCCCTCCCACCCCTCCAGAGAGGCCCCGCCTGAGCGAGGAGGGTATCGCCATGCTCATCATCCATCATCCTCTTCCTCCTCCTCCTCCTCCTCCTCCTCCTCCTCCTCCTCCTCCTCTTCCTGGAGGGTATCGGAAAACATGCTGTTTACACGGTTTCGTGTCCCCCCTCCACTCCTCCAGAGAGGCCGCGCTTGAACGAGGAGGGTCGCGGAAAGCAGTACTCTTCGCCAGGTTTCGTGGCCCTCCCCCCTTCCAGCGGGGCCCCGCCAAAGCGATCAAGAAAATGGGTCCCACGAAACCGTTAATCTCTTTATGTGGGGAACTCCGTTAGCATAATGTTGGGAATCGTTTTTAGCCATAACATACAACAACGGGTGTTTCACAAATGGGCCGGACGGCCCAATCGTCTTTAGGTAACTGGGCTTAATCAGTGGGTTTGCAGCCGCGATCGTCTTTACGTTTTCCAACTTGCCTCCTCAATGTTATTATGTTGCAAGTCGCAGCGTCCCGTTTCTGCTTTCCGGTCAGGGGTCCCTCTTCGACCGCGCCAGGGGGGAGGGCTTCTTTTTGCCGCCCCTGCCGCACTCACGCATGCGGCACCTCCCGCCAAAAAGAGAGGCGCGGGCAGGAGGGGTACTGGTGCCCTCCGCTCGCGCTCGGACTTCGGCACGGCTTCCTCGGAGAGGGCGCACCTCCTCTTTCGCTTTCTGTGCCTTTCCCTCCTGCTACTTCATCGCCCCTACATCGCGCAGCGGCCTTGGGGGCCAGGAGCACCTCTGGGCGGACCTCGCGCGGCCTCCTCGCCTCTCGGCCTTAGTGAGGTTTTGTCCGGGTTTGCTTCTCGCTCTCTCCCTCGACGGGCCGCCATGGCCAACCCCTCGCTCTTCTCTGTCTCTTTCTCTCTCTCTCTCTCTCCCTCTCTCTCTTCGCCAGGCCTCCGCTGCGTGCCCCTCTTCCTCCACGAGAGGCGCGTGCGGGCCAAGCTTGGGCCGGAGCGCAACGAAAGGCTCTGCACCCTCCGGCCGCCAAAAACTCTGCCCCACCAATCTGCGGCCCCGCCCGCGGCCACGCACGCCTCCTTTTCCTCCTCCTCCTCCTCCTCCTCCTCCTCCTCCTCCTCCTCCTCCTCCTCTCCCCTCCCCTCCCCCTCCCCCCCCCTCCCCCTCCCCTCCGCCTCGCCGCCTCCTCCTCCTCCCTCCTCCTCCTCCTCCGCCTCCTCCTCCTCCGTCTCCTCCTCCGTCTCCTCCTCCTCCTCCTCCTCCTCCTCCTCCTCCCCCAATATAGTACTGAGTTTGGACCCTACAGCCGCGAGGCAATCATTACTGCCTGGCGTCCGACTCCAGGAAAAACACCTGGCAGAACCCTATGCAGCCCACGGGTTGACGCGCACTCCCGTGGAAGTGAAGCTGCGCCTCTTTGTTCCCCCCCCCGCCCTCCGTCCAGAGCTCCTCCTCCTCCTCCTCCTTCCTCCCTCTCCTCCTCCTCCTCCTCTCCTCCTCCTCTCTCTCCTCCCCCTCCTCCTCCTCCTCCCTCCTCCTCCTCCCCTCCTCCCCCTCCCCCTCCCCCTCCCCCTCCTCTGCTCCTCCGTCCTCCCTGCCTCGGCGCGCCGCCCCCCCCCCCCCCCTCCGCGAGCGGCGAGCCGCGCGCGGCTCTTCGCACGCCTCTCTCCCCCGCGAGCGTGCCGCCTCCTCCTCCTCTCCGCGAGCGCGCCGCCTCCGCGGATCGGCTGCGCCTCACGCTCGAGACCCTCGACGGCCCTCCCGTCCTGGCCTCCGCCAGGGGGGAGAGTGGCAAAACCACGTGCACGTCGGTCGGAAGAAGTGGGTGGAAGCATCAGGTACGACGGCGTTGAAAGTACATCGGGCTCCCGCCCGCTCCCTGATGAGGAGGGAAAAGGGAAAACCGTTCGTCTCTCCCTTGAGACTGGAAGGCGCCTGCGAGTAGACTGGGACCTGGGAGTCCGGCCGTGCGCTCGCCGCGACCCGGGGGGGGCGTGCGCCGGCGGACGCTGGCGAAGGCCCGCCGCACACGGCCATCTGAACGACGCAGCTGGCCACGTCTTCGGCGGAGACGAAGCCCTCCTCCGCACGCCGCCGCTCGATCTCCTGATACATGTATATATGACAGAAAGAGAGGGAGAGAGGGATCTACATATATATATATATATATGTATATATAGAGAGAGAGAGAGAGAGCGATATATATATATATATAGAGAGAGAGAGAGAGAGAGAGAGAGAGAAAGCGATAGAGCGAGAGAGAGAGAGAGAGGGAGAGCAGGCGCCAGCCGCCGCCCCGCCGCCGCCCCGTGCGCTGTCTGGGCACGCCCGGCCTCGTGCGCGGTCTTCGTATAGCTCCGCGCGGCTGCCGTCCCCCGGCGGGGGAGGCGACCCGTCGCCGCCTCGTCGCCGCCTCGTGCGCAAGGCTGGCGGCGAGGGGGGCGCGATGGAGAGCGAGACGGGAGAGGGGGGTGGAGAGGCAGGGCGGAAGGAGAGGGCAGACAGGCAGGAGAGGGGGGGGGGGCTATCATCGTGCCCTGCGCGCCCATGTCGCAGGCGAAGGCGGCCAAGGGGGAATCCTGTTCGGGCGGGCCACCCCGACCGACCCAGGGGGCGACAGTTTTTGTCGGGGGGAGGGGCGAGGAGGCGGAGGAGAAGGAGGAGGAGGAGGAGCAGGAGGAGGAGGAGGAGCAGGAGGAGGAGGAGGAGGAGGAGGAGGGAGGAGGAGAAGGAGGAGGAGGAGGAGGAGGAGGAGGAGGAGGAGGAGGCGGAGGAGGAGGAGGAGGAGGAGGCGGAGGAGGAGGAGGAGGAGGAGGAGGAGGGAGGAGGAGGAGGAGGAGGAGGAGGAGGCGGAGGAGGCGGAGGAGGAGGAGGAGGAGGAGGAGGACCGCTCCCCGCCGCGCGAGGGCCAGGGCGCTGGAAAAAGGCGCCCTCGTGCCGGCAGCCCCGAGGGAGAACCCCGCGCAGCGGCAGCGCCGGGCAGCTGCCGCGACGGTCCGCGCCAGGGGCGCCCGGGGCAGCGGCGTGCGGCAGGGCGGCGAGGGATCGGCCGCGGATCGGGAGCGGCCCAGAGGGGGGCGTCCAAGAGGGGGGGGCGCAAACCATGGCCGGCGGCACGTGCGCGGCCCAGGGGGGGGGGGGCTGGGGACGCAACGAAGCAAGAAGAGGCGCCATGACATCTGGGGAGGTAGCATCCCCGACGCCATGAGATCCACCCCCCCCTAGTCACCACCCCCCTCTGTTCCGGCCCCGAGCGGAGGCACCGGGCGAGCGCCGCGCGCGGGCGTGGCGCGCGGGAGGGCCGGCGGCTGCGGCTGGAGCTCGGAGTGCGTTCGAGCGGGGGGGGGCAGTTCCGGGACGGCGCGCGAGTCCAGGTCGCGGGGTGCGGTGGGCGTGGCCAAGGTATGAGAACGCGCTTCCCCCCACTCCATGTGGCTGCACCAGGAGGGGGCGGTGCCTCCAGGAGGGGGCGCATCCAAGACTGCAAGACAGCAACGGGTGAGCACTTCGCTCATGCACCTCTCTGGGCAAGGCGCGCCGACCACCACCTCAGACTCACCCCGCGACATGCCGCAGCCAGCTGTCGGTCCCGAGCCCAGATCCTGTCGAGTAACATGCATACCTTACGGGTGAGGGCCACCAGCCACATTTTTACGCCGCGGCGCGGCAGAGGCCATCCGCTCGCGCGTCCAAGTAGCCCGGACTACGGCATTGCGACTTGTCCCGCATTCGGGGATGGACAGACCCCCCTTTAGTAAAACGTGGTTCAGCGAAAACGACCTGAGGCCCAAACCTGGTGGGCGCAAGCCTGGAAAAATAACGGCCACGGCGCCCTCTCGAGAGCCGAAAACGGACAATTCACTGATCGACGTGTCACTGTTGGAGGTTCTGTCCACCACCGACGCATGCAAGAAGGGGGGAAAGAAGCGAGCCGGCCGCAGAGACAGGAGATGGGAAAGGAGGCGCCCTCGCGCGGCGGGGCCGCGGGGGGCGCGCGGGGGGCGGCCAGAGGCCGCAGGGCAGCCCCTGGGGAGCGAGCGCGGCAGCATGTAAAATGCGCATGGAGGGCGGGCGGTCTGCGCTGCGTTTTACCATCTGCAGGGCTGCCTGCAGTTGCCTTTGTGAATCTCTGCCTAACTTGGGCAGAGGCGTCCTTCTGCAGGCTGTCCCCGCCCCAGTCCCTGCAGGAACACACTTTAGGGGTTGAAAGGAACAAACAGAAAAACATGTAAAATGCGTGGCATGGAGGCGCAGACGCTGCCGGAAACACCCGACAGGCGGTTGCTTCCCTTCGCACTGTCGGGTCCAGAAGAAGCGTACGGTGGGGGCGTTGACCTAAGGAACTCCAAATAAGGAGCGAGGCCCCTTTCTCCCATAAGTCGAACTTCGATCTCCCACGGAGCACCTCCTGAACACCTAAGGCAAGCTGCAGAACAATCAAGGAACACCGAGCCCCTCCCCAACGAAAAGGGTTCCTTCTTCAGCGCCCCGACTGTACGTGGGCTGCGCTGGACCCTGTGGGCTCAGCTCTCTGCGCTGGAGAGGCGCATGGCTTTACTCTGTGGAAAGCTTCCGAACAGGCCAGCCGCGCCGTGCGTAGCTTGCTTCCTGTTGGCCTGACCCGCCTTTCCTGCTGGGCCGCGAGGGGGACGGCGGAGACAGAAGAGGAGGAGGGCTACACGGACGAGAGAAGAGCGCGAGCAGGAGGAGGGAGGAGGGACACGGGACACGTCCCTGCTGAGTCCAGGGGCCCTGTTGGGGCCTGCTGGGGCCCCGTGCTAGTGCCTGCTACAGTCAAGCATCGTGCTGCCATACGGGACGCTGAACACGGCACGAAGAGGCCTTTTCTGGCCACGGCGAGCCTCGGACACGAGCGCGTGCCCCGACCCAGATCTGCGGGGGCGGCCAGGCAACCGGAGCCCTCTCCCGAGCCCAACGCGGTCCCTCTCTCGGTGTCTTCACTGCCAAGTCCCGCTGCTGGGATGCAGTGGAGGCCAGTCCACAGGAAGCCTTCCACGAGAGACCCGACCCTGAGACCCCAGGACGTCCATCGACTCCCGGTGCGGGAGCGTCGCGCTTTCCAGCGCAAGACCCTCGGAACCCAACCAAGACACCCATGGCACCCTGGAGGCAAGCAGGGCGTTTCTTGGCATGGGCCTCAACTGCATGCCGAGGGGGGCCCCCTGGGCCCCCGGGCTCGTCTCCTCGGGCGGCAGCAGCGACGACGGCACGTTGCCAGGGTGGACGATGCCGACGGCAATGTTGTGCGGCCGCCCGTCCAACGCCAAGCTCCGCGTGAGGCCTGCGGGGCAGAATCGGGAGCAGCGGCGCCGCCGGGAAATCACCGCCGCCCCATCCGGGGCTAAAGGGGCCTCCTGCGGGGCGGAGGGAGAAGGACGGCGAGGAGGAGGCGGAGGAGGAGGAGGATGGAGGATGAGGAGGATGGAGGATGGAGGATGGAGGATGGAGGATGGAGGATGGTGGATGGAGGATGGAGGATGGAGGATGAGGAGGAGGAGGAGGAGGAGGAGGAGGAGGAGGAGGAGGATGGAGGAGGAGGAGGAGGAGGAGGAGGAGGAGGATGGAGGAGGAGGAGTAGGAGGAGAGGGACGAGTGGGTGTGTGGGCAGCGGTGGAGGGACAGCAATGCACGTCCCTGCCTTCGCCGCAATTCGGATACTTCCGCCCTGCGGGCTTCTCCGCTCTTCTGGTCCCTCTTCGCACCTCTTGCCCCGCTCAGTCTGCACTAAGGTGACCAGAGTTCTAGCTTGATGTTGTTCGTGCGCTCTGGTTCCGTGGCACCAGGTCGCTGTATTGAGACGCATCGGCCATCCCGCCGATATCTGCGCAACGCAAAATGGATGAACAGGAACAAAATCAGGAGGAGGGGGAGGACGAAAACCGTGGGGCGAGTTGGCGAGGAAATTCGGGCGCTTGAAATGAAAAAATCCCAGTGGATTCTCGGAGGGATGAAGGAGGAGGATGAGACAGATGACGGGGAAGTGAGGATGATTGATTTTTCCAGCGAAAGAAACCTGGAATAGCAGATCGAGACAACCGCTGCCCTTCAGAAAACTACCCGGAACGCGCAGTATACGGACAAGCGAACACAAAGAGACACGTGCATTGTAAGTCGTAGCATCACATCGCATGCAACGAACTGGCGAAGCAACTGGCCAAGCAAGTATTCGGTGTTTCCCAGAAAAGCCCAGTCTGGAGCGAAGAAGCAACCACAAGCAAAGCACAACTACGGAAACAAGAGAACACAAAACGTCGAACACGAGGCACAATCGGACCTCAGCCCGCGCACGTTGTGGATCTTCCCGCAGCTCGACACGCAGGCGATACGTGGACTGGAGGGCAGCCCACCACGACGAAGTGCCCTGGCCAAAGAAAATATCCTGGCCGACTATTCGGTGAGGGCATTGTTTTTCTCACTTCAAGGGCCTGGCCACCCGTGTCGACTTCAACTGCGCAAGGCCGCCCAAACGGAGCTTGCACGGCCCCCCGCAGGCAGGACCCCCAAGGCCACCCGAGGCAGCGATTACCTGCGCGCCGCCCGCTGGCACTCGGGCCTGGGGCCCACAGCCTGCGCCCACGCGGCCGACGCGCGCTCCGCGCGGGCCGCATCGCGCCCGCAGAGGCCCTTGGCCGCCGCAGCGTTGCTGATCCTCACGTCGGCGGAGGAGCGAGAGACGCCGAAGATCAGCAACTGCTGCGCGACCACGCACATGGCCTCGCCCGTCTCCATATCGGTAAGAAGAAGCGCAGAATATGCCCCGCTGAGGCCCAGGCACACACCTGGGAGGCGGCCGAGCACTTCTACCAACATCGGGAGGGGCCTCGGCCACGGCGCTGACGCCACGGTGCGACTTCTCCTCCTGAGGCAGGGCGGCGGTGTGACTGCCAAGCGGCAGACAGCCCTCCTGCCCCGCGCCCCCCCCCCCCCGAAGAGGGAGGAGGTAGGCTCCGCACTCCTCCTACTCCTGGAACGGCGGAGGCACTGACGCCTCGTTCGCCGCTATCTCCGCGGAGAAGGCCTTCATCAAGGCGTCCAGGTCCTGCTGCTTCTGATTCGAGCGGACGGGCTCCGCATGGCCGCCGCTTCGGGCTCCATTGCGAGCGCCGCCCGCCGTGGCGCCGAGGGGCTGCAGAAACGTGGCTGGGACCGTGGCCGCGGCGCTCACCGCTCCGCACTTGGCCTGCTGCGCCTGAGCCACCAGCGCGCCGCTGCAGAACCACAGCATCGGAGGCGTACCGCTTCCCGCCGCACAGCACATCGTCCCCGTCGACGCTGTCCCCGTCGGTGCCCTCGACGGTGTCGGAGGCGGGGTACGGCGGGATCTTGAGGCTGCCTGCCGACTCACACGCATCTGGACCCTCGACCCCTTGCAAGCTGAGGCAAAGCCCTTCGGGACCGCCGTCGCTCGTTGCGCCGTCGAGAAGGTCTCCTCCTCCGCCGCGGAGGCAGGCCTCGGGCACGCCCTGACGGCCGCGCCGCTCGCCGACGGAGGCTCAGCGACCGAGCAGGCGGTCGCAGCCCCAGCGCTGCCGCCGAGGAGCGCCTCGCGGAAGTCGCTGGCCACCCTGAACTCGCCGAGCTGCACCTCGTCGCCGTCGTCGCCGTCGACCAGCTGACACGCACAGCGGCCCCGCCGCGCGCGCGACGGCCTCTCTGTGCACTGCCAGCTGCTGCTGCAGCTCGGCCAGGCGCCATCCAGCAGACAGCCCAGCCGCGAAGGCACCCGACTCTGCCGCAAACCTGTCTCCTCCTTGGCCGGCCACCTTCCCGCCCTCCAGCTCCTCCAGGGTGCCGGACTCGACCTCGTCCACAGACTCGGTGTCGTGGCCCGCCCCGTCAAGGCTGTAGGACAAAGGTGGGGCCTCCACGCCGTCGAACATCGCAAGCAGCTGGGCCTCCAGCTCCGCAACGTGCACGAGCTTGATGTTGGGCTCGAGCTGCCCCCACCTACCGCCAGGGAGCTCCCGAGCCCGCTGCTCCTGCTTTTCTGCCGCCGCCTGCCCGCCGCCGCTGCCACGAGCGAAGGCGCCGAACCGCGGCACCGCCACGACCTCGGCAAGCGCCGAAGCCGTAGCCCTGGCGAAACCTGCGGCGGGCACGTCCGCCGCATGCCATGCGGCATTACGGCGATACCGCCTGCTGCCACTGACGCGCACGCCAGCAACCGCCGCCTGGAACGCCGGCCGCGCAGCCAGCTCGCGATCCCGCCACGAACCCAGGTCGGCGGGGCCGCGAGAGCCCGCCACGCGCTGAAGCCCCGCCTCGAGGGCCAGCTGCCGCCGCCGCCTGGCCGCGCGCCGCGCCGCCGAGGCCCCGAGCAACTCCGTTTTTACGACTCTCGTGGGCCGCCTCCCGAGCGGGCAGCCCCCCGTCGCCATCTCCCAAGCGCCCGCGCCGCGCGCGCCCGAGCCAGCTTGAGCCAAAATGGCTACGGACGGTGGGGGCATTGGATAAGGAAGCATTGGATGAGGAATCCAGGGTCTGGAAGCCAGTGGAAAGCTTATCGTGGATTGGCCAATCGATATCACCGCCGCCCTCATCAGATAAGGAGCCCTCCAGGGTCTGAAGCCTCCTGGAAACGTTCCTTATCCAACGCCCCCACCGTTCTGGGAGGTGTCGTGGACGGGACGCCGCCCATCGCCAGCGCACCACGGGGGAAGGGAGAAGGGCAGCTGAGGAAGCCAGGGATGGCGAGGGAGGAGGGAGAAGACTCACCAACACAGATAAACCTGCAAAGCGCCTCCTGCCGACACGGAGGAACCAGGCCGGGAGCGGCTGGCGACACTGCAGCAGATTGCCATCAATCCAGACTCGCTCGGGCGAAACTGACCAACTGACCAATCCAGACGCGCTCGGGCGCGAGCGAGCCTGGGCGGGCTGCGGCCAGGCTCGCTGCCTGAGCGCCAGCCTCTGCCAGCTGGGCCTGCGCGCGCTGCCGTCGAACTCTTCCAGACTTGACAACTTGCAAAGCCGTGGTGAAGAGCCTGCCAGGGCGCGCCGCGCTGACCCCTCAGCCAAAAGGCTACGGGACGCAATGGGCCAGATCAGCATCATATAAACGATGGGATGCTTTGTCCCTTCGCATGCGCACTTTTTTTGTATTTCCCTCTGCGGGCGACGCGGGAAACTGCGCCCTCGGCTGCCCCGCAGCAGCGCCGCCGACCACTGCCGGCTGACCTCGTGGAACTCTGAAAGTGTTGCGCGGCTTTGACTTGTTTTGTTCGCCCGAGCGGGGCCATCTGCTAGATTCAACGCACAGGCGCGTAGTGGGCGTGCATCAACGCGATCGCGGCCGCTAATTCAAACCAAAATGCTTCCAAAACGCGTTGAGATCAGCCTGCCGAGATCTGCCGCGCAGCAGAGCATTCAGAGCCGCCATGTTACCTACAAAAATCATCCCGCTCCGGGAACAACCGAAAGCCGCACGGCCGCCGCTGCTCGCTCCCAGAGCGCGACCTGTGCGCGACGAGGCAAAGCCCAAGACCGCGCCTCCGGCGGCACTCTGGCCGCAAGCCACGGGGGCCCGGGCGAGGGAGGCGACCCTTTAAGCAAGGATTCGAGGGTGGCGGCTTGGCCGCCCCGATCCGCGTGTGGACACGGAACTCCACACGCAGATTGAAAAACGTGCGCCGGGTGCGGCACGTTCGCCGAAACGTGGGCCAACATGCAGAGCCAAGACGCAACGTGTTAACACACGGAGGTTTTGAGGACGGTGCGTAATTATTCCTTATCAAAAACGGGCGTTTCAGGGCAGTGGCAACCCTGACTCCGGATCCGCCCTACTTTGGGGAAGTTCGTAAGTAGGGCCTGGAATTTCCGCCTTACTTTTCAAGCCCCGCTGATGCCCATTTCCGCCCTACTTTTCTGTTGTTGTTTCCGCCCTACTTCTGTGGATTTTCGTTCCATTTTATGTTGGGTGCAGAAATTTCCGCCCAACTCTTCTCGGCTCCTTATAGGTGGATATCCGACGCAATTTTAAGTTGGAAAAAAAAGCCAAAGTAGGGCGGATCTGGAGTCAGGGAAGGGAAGCGCGCCCTTTTTTGCAAACCGCCTCTTGGTGCAAACTTCCACGGACCCTCCACGTGCACGCGGCACCGCTCTGGCTCCGGCCCCTACCCGGGCACCGATCCCAGCTACGGTACTGGTCCCGGCTCCAGTGTCGGCCCCAACGTCGGCCCTGGCGTCGGCTCTGGTGGCGGGCTCGGCCTCGGTCTGGCTCCGGCGCGGGACTTGGTCCCAGCTCCGGCCCCCACCCCGGCCGCGGCCTCGTTACCAGCCATTCCGAGTGGACTCAGACGGGAGCTAACCGACGTCCAAAAACAAGCGAACGCCCGTCGATTAGAGAAACTTCTGCAGCAAGAGCCGCGCGTCCTCCTGCCTTTCCACCCCCTCTTCCTCTTCTTCTTCTTCTTCCTCCTCCTCCTCCTCCTCTTCCGCCTCCTCTCAAGCCCGTCTCCTCCTCCACCTCCTCCCACCTTTCAAATCCTCCTCCCTCTTTTTTTTCTCCCGACTTTACTGATGCTTCTCATCCTACTGTCGGCGATAACGACTGATGCGCCAATTCACGGGGATGCCAATGTCAAATGGACAGGTGCAGATCTATTTCCTCAGCCGTTTGTCTGGGTGGACGCTGTCTCAATGCCCGCGCTGGGTATCCTGCGCGCCGCAGACACCTTGAGGACGAGGAGGCAGAGGAGAAGGAAGAGGAGATAGAGGAGGAGACGGAGGTGGATTCGCTGCAGGGGGGAAGACGGGGGGAGGGGAGGAGGGGGAGAGGGAGAACCTTTGGATTCCTCAGAACCCCAATGAGAATACGCCACGGTACCCAATCCAATACCTCCCGAAACCTCCGCCGTTCTCCTCCTCCGCCCTCTCCCCCTCGCTCCCTCCCAGGCCTTGCAGCGCGTGCTTGGAGGTCGTGTAGGGAGCGGCGTCCGGACGGGGTCTGTCTACGGCGATGCTGCCGACGTTGATGATGCGGCCGCCCTCGGCCTTCTGCATCTGCTTAAAGGCCTGTCCACAGGATCGTAACCAGGCTGGACGACGAGTACGACGAGGAACGCGACTGACGATGATGGTGACGTGACGATGGTGGTCATTGCGCAAGGGTGGACAGCTGTGCGCACGGAGCTGGGCTCGACGTGCAGTCAGCGCCGCCTCCACACCGATGCCGATGGCGCAGAGGCTCGTGGGTGGTCGTGGGACCTCAGGACCTTGCCCCCGCCCCCCGCCCCCAATGAGCGCCCACGGGCGCCAGCGCTCCCGGTCTCCTCGGGGACGCATTTTTTGTTCTAATGTATTTCCTCGGAGGTGCATATTCGAGCGTGCCGAAAGACTGGGCGCTGGGCCGCAAGGGCCCGCTCTGAGACTACAGTCGGGACGTTGACCCAAGGAACCCCAAACAAGGAACGAGGCCCCTGTTTCCCCTAAGTTACAATTCGATGCTCCATCTGGAACTTAAGGAAAACCTGAGGCCAACTGCAAAACAACTAAGGAACACTGAGCCCCTCCCACTCGCAAAAGGGTTCCTTCGTCAGCGCCCCGACTGTACCAGCCTGGGGCGGCGACGCTCCTCGACCTGCTCGCCAAGAGTGCAGGGCCCCGTCATGGCGTCTTTCGCCGCCTTGCCTGGTTTTGTAGGTTCGCGGAGCCGCCTCGTGCGTAGCGGGGTGCCCTTCCTCCTTTTGCCCAACTGCTTACCAGCCTCGAACGTATCCCTATCCCTAAGATCGACACGCCAAAAGGCGATGACAATCTCAGGCATCCGCCCTCAAAAAACAAGGGAATCCCTAGGATCGGCATCGTGATGAGGAGGTGCCCAGCACAGGGATAGGGATAGGCTCCAGGCTGGTAACAACTGCTCCAGGCACGGCTCCATCAAGGCCATGCGCCGTTGGCTGGCCGTGTCGGTCGCACACACGCTGCACGACGAGGCGGCGACAGCATCCGCAATGCGCAGTCCGCGCGTCGCGTACACTGGTCGGTCACGCACATGTTAAGGCCCAGTAAAGCGACCGGCGTGCTGACCCCCCCCCCCCCTTCGCGACAGGAGGTGCGTCGCGCATTCGTCGCCCGTGCGCCGCCCGTGCGTCGGCCGCCGAAAAGGCCAGCCGTCCTCTCGAACGTGCACGTCGCCCTCGCAAGGGGGCAATTTGCGTGACGTACACGAGGCGGGCCTCGGCGGGGGAGGCGGCACGTCGGCCCCGCCAGCTGCGGCCGCCTGCCCCCTGGCCTTCAGCAGCAGCGCTTGCAACACCGAGCGCCGCCGAAACTCTCGGCGGCCACCGCCGGCTCACCATGGCACCGATCCGAGTGCGACCTCCGCTTCGTGACCAGTGCGTGCTCGAACGATCCCGGGGCTTTGCCCCCTCCTGGCCTTGACGTGAGGCCCCTCCGCCTGCCCCCCTCTCGTCAGTTCAAGCTGTGCGCGGCCCGCGTAGCTTCGACCGGAAGAGGTGCGCTCTCGACCCGCGGATCAACGAAAAGCGTGTTCGAATGAGCGCGACTCTCCCGGGAGCTTCCGACGGGGGGCCGACTTTTGGGGGACGTCGGCTGACCACATCACCGGTGCTGGCTGCCCCAAATCCGTGTTTATGCCTCCCCCCTTGGCCTGGAGGGCCTACGCTACCGTTAAGTCGGGCCTGTCCCCCCCTACAGGGGGATTTTCGACGAAAAATTAAGAAGTACCAAAACAATAATGAAAAACTAATCCCAAAAATAGTCTGGGGACTATTTTTTGAATATTTTTGGACCTTTTTGGGGCATTTTTTTGGGGGGTATTCTTTATTTTTCGTCGAAAGTCCCCCTGTAGGGGGACAGGGGCCCCGGGTTGGGCCCTGCCAGGCTCGGGGCGTGGCGAACTGGCGTCGCCCGGCTCTGTGGCCAGCCTGGGATTATCTTGGGCATGCCGATCGCCCGCGCGTGCACGAGCTGCTTGGAATGGGCGGTCACGGGGGGAGGAAACTACCCAGACCCCCTCGAGGTATGAAAAAATCACGACGGGAGGTTTTTCGCTATTTTTGGCCTCTGGGGGCCCTTGCCGGGCCTCGGGACCGTCAAAAAACGACTCAGGATGAAAAACCGGTCCCGGGGAATGGGTCCAGACAGCTGGGGGTCGACGTCATGAAAAATTCACGACGTCGGGGGTCTGGGTATTTGGACGCCCGAAATGGGTACGGAAGGAATGGGCACAATGCCCAGCAGCAGTTCCTGTCCATTTTGAACAGGATTCGCTGTCCACGCCGCCGCGGCATGTGTTCATTCGAGACAGAAGGCCGCCTGCCCAACAGCGGCCGCTGTTGGTTTGGGACAACATTTGTTGTTGGGCATTGTACCCATTTTTTCCGTACCCATTTCGGGCGTCCAAAACGTAGTGTTTTCCACCAGAGCCACTGGCGCTGGACGTCTGCGAATGTCTGGTCGCGACGTGGTCAAATCCCAACCGGACGGCTCAGACACCAATCGGTCAGAACTCCGGGACGGTTCTGATTTCCAACCGCCAGACAAACAAACAGGTTTTTAAGCTGATCATGCTGGTAATGAAATCCGATAAATCTTCCGTGAGGGAACTCACTCGGATTTCACAGCAGCTGGGATCTGCAGCATTCCACTGTCGTATGATATGCGAGTTCTCAAGACTTCAGGACAACCTCGTATATGCTCAAAGTACTCCAAAACGGCAGCGGTCACGAACATGTGCGGAACGTATGAGAAATTCTTAAACCATGTATACGAAACGTATGGGACGCGCAAGCGAAATACAGAAATCGCACATACGACGCGAAGCTGGCACGAAGTTGGACTGTAAACAAACGTTTGCGCATCGTGCATGGAACGGATGTGGAACATTCATGAAAAGTTTACGCCACGTGTATCAAGCGAGTATGAAGCATGTATGCGACGCATGTTCACCGCAAGTGGAAAACATGTGGAACATGTTTAAACCGACAATGAAACGTACACGGCACGTATTTATGAGACGTTGGTGAAACGTATAAGCAGCGAATATGCAACGCGTAAAACACCTATCTGGCACATGCGTGAAACGTATACGGAACGTATAAGAACGTATACGTACGAACATCTACGACACATCTACGAAACGTTAACGCAATGTATATGAGACAGTGCTCGCTGCCGCCCCCCCGCGCGGGCCCCGTCGACCGGGATCCTCGCAACTCCTACCAGCCTCCAATCGAACACACTCAGATTTCACATAAGAAAGAATCCCGCGGGGGCTGGGATCGACACGTTTCCGATTGAACCCTGAGTGAAAGAAACCATTTTAGATAGGCACTGTGTTTGCTGGAAACTGGGGTCGCCGCATTTCATATGTAATACGTATGGACAGCTAACATGGGATATTACAAACTCCTGCTGGAAGCTGGTGTCGGCGCATTTGTTACTCAAGTTCGACTGGGACATACATGAAATATTCAAACAATCTGCGGGAGGCTAGGGTCGGCGCACTTGTAACTCGAAGTTCGACCGGGACATGCATAGAATGTTAAAGAATTCTGCGGGAGGCAGGTGCGAACGAATGTCCTATTGATCTTCGATTGAACACACACGTGGAACATGACAGAAATCGGCGGGAGGCTGAGATTTTCGCAACTCCTTGAGGCTTCCAATCGAAACACTCACATAGAAAATAAAACAAATTCCGCGGGCTGGGATCGGCACGTTTCCGATTGAACCCTAAGTGAAGAAAACAACTGGGACATGCAATGCGTTTGCTGGTGGCTGGGGTCACCGACTTTCATATGACATGCAACTTGAAAAAAACAAAAACAACATGGGATTCTTGAGAATCCCGGTGGAAGCTGGGATCGGCGCATGTCCTGCTGGATTTTCCATAGACGAGCAGGTCGAACATGTAATAATCATGAGGGAGGCTGCAATCGCCGTTTTTTGTTTATATATGAATGTTTTCGAAGCCCAAACGGGAAACCATGGAACATTAAAGAATTCTGCGGGTGGCTGGGATCGGCGCGTGCATTCTTTGTCGGTTTCCGATGGAAAGACACATTTAGCATTGAAGAATTCGGCTCAAGGCTGGGATCGGGGGCGGCCAAGAGGGGGGGGTCCAAGAGGGGGAGCCCCAAATCATGGCCGGCGTCACGTGCGCGGCCCAGGGGGGAGGGGGCCAGGGACGCATTGACATAAGAAGAGGCGCCCTGAAATCTGGAGAGATATCATGGCCCCCTCCATATATCCCTCCCCTAATCATCACCCCGCCATTGGCCGCCCCCGAGTTGATTTCCGATTGAAAACAGATGGCGCCGGACCCCAGCGCCAAGGCAGCGGGGCGCGCCCCCTGGGGGCGCGCCCGCGGAAGCCTCGGCTACAGCCCTGGGCCGCGCGAGGCTGCGGAGAGGGAGGCGTCACGAGGAGGGTCGCGCGAGGGGACTGCGGAGGCGGTTGCAGTGGCGGCCCGACCACGAGAAGCCTTCCACAAGAAACCCAACCCAACCCTCCTCCTCCTCCTCCTCCTCCTCCTCTTCCACCCTCCTCCTCCTCCTCCTCCTCCTCCTCCTCCTCCTCTTCCACCCTCCTGCTGTTTAACCGAACCTGCAGGGTGGGCCTTTTCCCGAATCCGTGCTTCGGTCCGGATCGCCAGCGCACCTCGTCTCCGTCGTCGTCGTCGTCGTCGTGCTCGTCGGTGTCGTCGTGGTCGTGGTGCGTGCTGCTCTGCTCGGGACTTGTTTCCCTTATGCAGTGACCACCCACCCCACCTCCTCGAGTCATGGCAAAATCGTGGCGGGAGGTCTTTCGCCATTTGCGGACTCTGGGGGCCCTTGCAGTGGGGGCCCGACCACAAGAAACCTTCCAGAAGAAACCCAAGCCTGAGACCCCATGACGTCCATTGGTTTTTGGTGTGGAGACGTCGCGCCTTCCATCGCAGAACCATCGAAACCCACGAAACCCAGGGCACCCTGGAGGCGGGCAGGGTGTTTCTTGGCATGGGTCTCCCCTGTAGGGTGTGGTGGGGAGGACTGCTGAAGAGGGAGGCCGGCGAGAGGCCAGGCATTGTGTTATGTCGGGCGTGTCCCCCTACAGGGGGATTTTCGACTAATAAAAAATACCCCAAACATATCCCCAAATGGTCAACAAAATATCCAAAACATAGTCCCCAGACTATTTTGACTATTTTTGAATACTCCTCCTGGAGAGGGACGTACCCGACTGAAACATAGTGCAGGAAAAAGATCAAGGGCGGGGGTCAAGAGAAGGGTGAAGGAGGGGGTTTCGGTAGAAGGGTACAGAAGACGGTCCAGGAGAAATCTTGAGGAGGAAGGTCGAGGAGGAAGGCTGACGAGGAAGAGGCAGGATACTGGGCCAGGTGACGATGGCGGGGGAAGCCAGCGCAGCGGAGAGTGGGAAGGGACAGGGCCAGGAGGAGGGTCGGAGAGGAAGGTTGGGTTGAGGGGGAAGCTGAGGAACACAACTCATCGAAAAAGGTTGAGTGACGAGGGCTCAGAAATGTTGAAGAGGTCTGATAGGGGAGGAGCGTCGAACAAGAAATGTTAGGAGGAGCCAGAAGCATGGCTCAGGAAGAGGATTGATGAGGAGAGGCCATGGAGAGGGCTGAGGTGGGACGATGTGGGCCAGGGGGGAGGCCCCCGTGCGAGCGGAAGCCCGACTGGGGTGAGCTCGCCGGAGAGCGCTTCCAATCGCATCGCAGCCGAAGCCAAAAAAAACACCTTACACAGAAAAGGGAACGGCCCACCCTCCAGGCTCTGTTCACAACACATTCTGGAGCGGTGCTGCAGCACCCACGGAACAAAGGCTCCCCTTCCCCATGGACAGCAACCGCGCACATCGGGTTTGCACCGTCATGCCCTGCTGGGCTCTGAAATCGGGGCTCGTCAGGGCGGAGGACGTGGAAGGGATGAGGGTGGGAGGGGTGGGGGGGTCCTCCTCCTCTGACGACTTGCAACGCGTAAGAGCACGTACAAATGCAGGAGGGTCCTCCTCCTCCTCCTCCTCCTCCTCCTCCTCCTCCTCTGCCCCCTCCTCCTAAGCAAGGGACCCTTAGGAATCCTCACGAATCCCCCAGGCATCCTCAGGAATTCCGGAATCCTCAGGCAGCCATGAGGAGTCTTCAGGAAATCCATAATGAATCTCTCAGGAATCCTTCGGGCATCCAAAAAGGAATCGGGAGAATCTCAAAGAACCCAACAGGAATATGCAGAACCCCCTGGAATCATCAGGAATCCTCAGAAATCGTATAAGCCTTTCCTGGCATGAACGGGCAGCGCGGAAAAGCGATAAGTTGCGCAAGAACGTGCATCAGCATCACGATCACATGTAATGAATGCAAGTTCCCCGAACGTTCACGGCGGATACCTATGGACACACGCTCCCCGAACGTTCGCAAGCATGTTTCCGAGTATCCTCTCTCTTCTGTACAGCTCCAGTTTCCTCCTTTGAAATAACCCTACATGCTCTACTAGCCCCATATACACTAACCCTGCATATTCTAACCCTACAGACCCAAACCCTACAGACTAACCCTACAGACCCTACTTCTACATACCCTAACCCTACAGGCCCTACTCCTCCATACCCTGCTGACCCTACCTGCCCTAACCCTACATACTCTAACCGACGTACCCTACTCCGACATAGCCTAACCCTGCAGACCCTAACCCGACCTATCCTAAACCTACATCCTCTACTGAGCCTACATTCCCTAGCCCTACAGACAGTAACCCTAGCGACGCTGCCCCTACATACTCTAACCCTACGTACTCTACTAACCCTACAGACCCTAACCCTGCGGACCCTAAACCTGCAGACCCTAGCCCTGAAAACTCGAACCCTACAGACAGTAATTCTACTGACCCTACTCCTACAGACTCTAACCAGACAGACCCTAACCCTACAGACCCTACTGACCCTGGCGGCCCTGACCCTACATACTCTAAACCTACAGCCCCTAGCCATACAGACCTTCACCATACAGACCCTAACCCTACAGACCCTGCTAGCCCTACAAACCTAAACCTACATACACGAACCCTACCCTAACCCTACAGACTAGAACCCTACGGACCCTAAACCTACAGAACCTACTAACTCTACAGACCCTGACCCTGCAGACTCCAACCCTACAGACCCTAAACCCTGAAAGCTCTAACCCTACAGATCCTAACCCTGCAGACCCTATTGACCCTACAGACCCGAGACGAGACGATCATTTTCCAAATCCGCCACGTCTCCGGTAACGGAGGAACCCCTCCACCGCTCCACAAAGATTTTCCCTCTGGGCCTGGATGCAACGTCCATCGCGCGACTCTTCGAGACGAAGCGCGCTTCCCGTCATCTTCAGGAATGCAACTGGACTCCCTCATGAACCTCTTCGGGATCCGTTTGAAATCCTCCGGAATCTTCAGCTATCCCGAAGGATCCTTCAAGAATCCCTCAAGAATCCCTGCAAGAATTCTCAAGGAATCTTTCGGGAATCCGTGAGGAATCCGTCAGGAATCCCTCATACATCCTCAGGGATCTCCAGGAATCTGCCAGAATCCCTTAGGAATCCTTGTGGAATTTACGAGTATCCATCACGGATCCCTCATGACTCTGTCAGGAAGCCTGAGGAATCCCTCGAGAATTCCTCAGGGATCCCTCAGAAATCTCCAAATAATCTTTCTGAAATGCTTCAGGAATCCCCAGGAATCCTCCGGGACCCCTCCATGCTCCTTGAGGAATCTCTCAGGCAGCCCTCATGCAGCCCAGAAGCATCCGCTGGGAATCCCCAGGAACCCTTTAGGAATCCGTTCGGAATCCCGAAGACATCCCGTAGGAATCCTCCAGAAGAGCTCGTTAGGAATCCTTGAGGAATCCGCAGGGATCCCTCAGCTCAGGAAACCTGAGAACCTGTGAGAAAATCATAGGACTCCTCAGGAATCCCTCAGGAAGCTTACGTGGAATCCACTGAATCCTTCACGAAGCCGAGGAGTCGCCTTCTAGGAAACGCGCACGTAGCGCAAGTGAAACGCTTCAACCGCCCGGAAGCTCAAATGAGCTCGGTTGGGATCTGAACCGTTCGGTTGGGATCTGAACCATCCCGTTGGGATCTGAACCGTTCTCGCGTCCGTGCTGGTCGAGAGTCGGTGGACGCCCTGGCGTCGGGCTTTCCAAGCGGGGATGTGCCTCTTGGGCTCCCGAGCGCCGTTTCCTCCCTTCCCCCCCTCGACCTGTCGGGAGGGCGCTGGGGTGCAACAGACTGGCCGACTTGGGACCTCGCGGGGCCCTCTTGCTGCATTTTTGGGGCTCTCTCGGGCCCCTCTCGGGGCCAGCTGGGGACCTCCTGGGACCACCTCGTAGCCTCGGTAGCGTGTTGGAGCCCGCCAAATCGATAAAGCCAATCTCGTCTCAAACTTATGAGTCAAACGTAGGCCCCATTAGCGAATTGCTGTTCCTGCCCCCCTCACCCTGCTGCTCATGTGCGTGCATCTATGCAGCCTCGCGTGCGCACAGGAAAGGCCCCAGCACGTTCACAGCCATCACCCTTGAGAAGGTCTCCGCAGACAGCTCGGTGGTAGGGCCACCTCCCTGGCCGCATTCCAGACAGACCCAATGTTCACAGCAAGCGCGGACATATTAAACAGACAAGGGAATCAAATATAGCATGGAAGAAAAAAGTGCACACCCAGGAGTGACAACAACACATGCATATGCGGGAGTAGGAGGAGGGGAAGGAGGATAAGAAGGTGCCCAACCCTGGCAATGTGCGCGATCCATGAGTGCGCTTTCGCTCGGCCACCCAACTGGGGATGGGGAGAGCGGGGAATACACACGGAATAGGATTCAGACAACAACTGCGGAGGGGGAGCATGCGGGAGAGGCGTAAGAGGAGGTGAGGAGGCCAACGACGAAGGATGGGGTGGATGAGGAGGCAGAGCGGGGTGCATTCGTATGAGGATGAGGGATATCAACATGAGGGGGCGACATAAGGGGGATACTGATGCCGATGACGATGACGACGACGATGATGGTGAGGGTGATGATGACGATGATGGTGATGGTGATGATGCTGGTGATGCTGATGCTGATGCTGATCATGATGATTCTGATGCTGGTTATGATGATGAAAGATGGCGGTGATGACGATGATGAGGATGCTGATGTCGATGATACTGACGATGATGACGCTGATGCTGATCATGGTGGTGGTGATGCTGATGATGATGCTGATGACGATGATGATGCTGATGATGCTGGTGTGGTGATCACGATGATGACGATGACGATGAGGACGATGAGGACGACGACGACGACGACGACGATGATGATGATGATGATGATGATGATGATGGTGATGACGATGACGATGATACCGACGACGATGATGATGATGATTATGATGATGATGATGATGATGATGATGATGATGATGGTGATGATGATGATGATGATGATGATGATGATGATGATGCTGAATGTGATGATGATGATGATGATGATGATGATGATGATGATGACGATGATGATGATGATGATGATAATGCCTCACGCACTTCGTGGTCCCAGATGTAGATCCACCTGAGGCCCTAGTGGGTACGTCCACAGCGGTTCCGCTCCATTTCGGCGCACCCCTCACACGTTTCGCCCCCAGTGGGTGCGCCCACCTGCGGCTCCCCGCCCACTTCGGCACACCCGCCCTTCTACGCCTCGTGCCCCCCGTAAGGAGATTCCCCTCCTTCGTCCAACCTGCCTTGATGTACACACACACACACACTTGCATGAAATGATTGGGCCCTTCGCCAAACCACTATTTCGCACGGCTGGCGCTACAGCCTTGCTCCTGCATTCAACCACACAATTTCGCGAGCTTCCTCTCGCGCCGCGAAGCTCGCATGCATAGCCGTGCCGTCATCCTGACGGGCTGGGCGTTGAAAGAATGCGCCTTCGGCTGGCCCAGGATGGGCATATCCAGGAATTCCTCCTCCGCTTAGCGCCGCCGCCAGCAGGCTGGACGTTCCCTTGTCGCGCCACTGCCCCAGCACACGGACACGCACCTGAGAAAGACTGCGTTGTAGGGCACCCATGCATCGAACCACCAGAAGATGCATTTTAGCTCGTTGGCCGTTACCTCGTTAAATCCCTGGCGTCAGCGAGCAAGGTGATTTTGGCGACTGCACCCTCTGGTGCTTCAGTGCGCGTGCCGCGGAAGACGCCGTGGTGCACTCCCGTTTGCACCCGCCACTATCGCCACTCGCCGATTGTGCCGTAGGGTGACGTACAGACCTGACTCCCCACGGTGACGGGATTGGGCCCTCATTGGTCCCTCGTGGCGGCTCTCCATGCGTGAGGCGCTCAGATGCCATGCGTCTCTTCTGATTCAGCGGCCCACGGCGGCACGGCACGTTCGGCAGGAGAAGACGATTCACATGCGGCCCAGGCTGCCAGGCTTTCTGTGACAGCTATACGTCAATGCCCATCAATAGGCAGTCCGTACGCCGCCCGTCCTCGACAGCATTCTTTGTGTTTGAGTCGCCTACGTTGTGCTGGTGGTGGTCGTCGTCGCGGTCGTGGCCGTGGTTGTGGTCCTGATCCCCTCCTACTCGTCGTATTCTTGCTCCTGCTCCTCCTCCTCTTCCTCCTCCTCCTCCTCCTCCTCTGTTCCCCCTCCTCCATCCTCCCCTCTCCACCTCCATCTCACTCCCCCCATCCCCATCACCTCCTGCTCCTCTGCCTCCGAATCCTCCTCTCCGTCTGTTCCTCCCATGGCTCAACTCCCTGAAAGCCGTCGCCGCACGTCCCCAGTCGCCCTTTCTATATTTTTCGCTGTCTCTCTCTCTCTCTCTCTCTTTCTATCCCTCCCTCTCTGGGCTCCCCGCCCCGGGCGCCGATCCCGATGCCGGCGCAATTCACGAGCAAGTGGCAAGGGCCGCACTCCTGTGGCGGGGCCGCGAATAAGGACTTCTTTCATCGGCAGCAGGGTTGCGCATGCGTGCTTGCCTATCTACTGTTCGCGAGACTGTTCGCAAGACTTTCCACCGACAGGCCAGCTTGAACTGTCGGCGGTGGTTTGGCCCAAAATTTTCTAGGGAGAGCGCTCTTGGAATGGCAGCTCTGCCGATGGAAGCTGCTTGCCGATGAGCGAAGGATGATGAGAAGGAGTGGGAGGAGGACCTCTGGGCCGACTGGCCCCCCCAAGCGCTCATCTCATCCCCATTCCCCTCCCTGTTGTCCTCCGACATCCTCACTTCCCCCTTTCCCTCCCCTTCCCCCCTTCCTTTGCTCGTTCCCCCCTTCCCCTCCGCCCTGTTCTCATCCACCTGCTCCCGCCTCCCTTGCCGCAGGGACAGCAGTAAGTTTAACAAGGGCTTGCATGAGTTGCAGAGGGCCTGTTTCAGGGCGGAAAAAGGACGCGAGCAAGGAGGGGAAACTGGAGACGAGGGGAAACTGGAGGATGGTGGGAGGACGGACGGGAATGGGGCAGAGTGGATGATGGATGAGAGGGTTGGGGGTGCGAGGGCGAAAGAGATGGAGCAGAAAAAGCCCTCACTCCCTTCCTCCTCCGCCCGTCCCCTTGCTCCACTGATGCAACTGCTCTGCCCAGGTGGTCAGACCCCCCCAAAACTTCAGAAGTGAATGGACGAAAAGAAGACCCTCAGAGCTGATGTCGAAACAATATCGGGGGGGGTTCGAACCCACCGGCTTTCGGATAGGGAGAAAGAGGATGAGGAGCAGGAGGAAAACCACAATAAACCCAGGATGCATCAGGGATGATGGAATATACCCTTTCGCCCCAGATCACCTCATCACAAGTCGTTACACGCCTTCGTATTCGTCGCGCGCAACGCACCCCCAAAAAGAAACACGAGATGGACCTGCCGCTGAAGCGAAACATCCGTTTCTTGACAAGCTCAGGTCTTGCATCCTTCTAGCGATTATTACCCATCACTGCGTCCAACGGTGTGTCCACCGATAATGCCGTTTTGAAAAAAGGAGCCGCCCGACCACCTGCGCAACTCTTGCACAAGTGTGTGTGTGTGTGTGTGTGTGTGTGTGTGTGTGTGTGTGTTCCGGGGGACATGCAAAGCGAAAACCCAATTTTGGGAAGGAGCTGCCACCCATCTGCGCAGTTTTCTTACAACGTGCTACAGAAATGGGTCAACTTTCTGGTCGTTGCCTCATGGAGAAATTTGCCGCGCGACAAGCCCAGCCGCACGCACTTGTAAGCGCCATCGTTGTGGGCGTCGTCGTCGGTGAATTCCTAATGCGGCCACGGAGCGCGTGGAGGGCGTGCCGGTGTGCGGCGGGGCCGCCGCGCGTGCGCCGCCGCTGGGGCCTTCGAACATCGCGAGGCGAACGAGATGAGGGAGGGGCCAGCAACTGGACTGCGGCGTGGGTGCGGGCGAGGAAAGCTAACGCGGGCGAGCGGGAGGTCTCCTTGGTTTGGCCACAGTTCCACGCGCCGCCATTTCGCGTGAACCTTCTTCCCAGCTCTTGCTCCCCGTTCCCAATTTCCGTCGCGCATGGCGGCCCTGTCCGCCTGTCCCGCGGCGGCCCGAGCCCCGGGCGCCGCCGTTGCGCCCGCGCCCTTCCCTCGTTCTCCTTTCCTTCGCGTCCTCGCGCCCTGACTGCCGCGGCTCCAGGCAGGGCGCGGCGCGGAGTTCACGCGGCGCGCGCTGGCCCTCGGGCCGCCGGCGACGCGCGCGGGTCGTCCGCGGCGCGGGGCAAGAAAAAGTAGACGGCTGACGACTGGCGAAATGCTGGGCAAAGCGCGCGGGAGTCGGGCAGCTCCTGAAGCCAGAGCGCAGGGGAGTCCCCGCGACGCGCGCTCAGCGCCCCGAGAGGATTCCAACGACGCGCGCGTGTCGTTCGCGGCGCCAGGCTAAAAACTTTGACAGAAGACAAAATGCGAGGCTCAGGCAACGCGGATCAACTCGGATAAACTCGGTGATGCCCAGTTCCTTGGCGAAGGCCGTCGCCCCTTTCCTGCGCCAGTTCGTGCGCGTCGCAAACTGCTCCAGCTGCTTCCGCAGGGCTGGCGGCCCTGCCAGGAATAACTCGATGCCCGCCGCCCGCATGAGCAGGCGGTCGTCGTGGCGCATGGCTCCCGAGAGCAGCGCGTAGAGCTCCGGCCACCAGCCGTCGTCCTCCTTCTTGCCGATCCGGATATCGCGGCGGCCGCAGTTCACGATCACGCCAGGGCATCGTCGGTCAAGAAAGGGGCGTGCTGAACAGCAGACCGCCCAGGGCGACAGCCCATAGAACCGAACAGATTTGGCTACAGACTGCTCTCGTCCAGGTTGTGGAGCTTCTTCTGGGGCCGCGAAACATGTGAGCGGTGTGCCGACATGGGCATGCGGTGGGCGGGGAGCCGCATGCGAACCCTGCCGCTGAAGTCTTGGGTGGAGTTCCCATGGGGCCACGAAGCGTGTGAGGGGTGTGCCGAAATAGACATGCGGTGGGCGGGGGGCCGCCTGCGAACCCTGCCGCTAGGGCCTTCGGTGGAGCTCCTTACGGGGTCACGAAGCGTATGGATAGTGAACCGACATAGGCATGCGGTGGGCGGGGAACAACATGCACCACATGCGAAACCCGCATTGGGACCTTCGTTGGAGCTTCCTACGGGGCCACGCACCGTTTGAGGGGCGTGCCGAAATAAAAATGTGGAGGGCGGCCGCTGAGCTTTCGGTGGGGGCCCCCTTGGGGCCACGAAGCGCGTGAACGGTGTACCGAAAATGACATGCGATGGGCGGGGAACCGCATGCGAATCCTAACGCTGGGGCCCTCGGGGGCGCTCCCATGGGGCCAGGAAGCGTGTGATGGGTGTGCGCAAATGGACATGCGGTGGGCAGGCAACCGCATGTAAACCCTGCCGTTGGGGTTTTCGGTGGAGCGTGGTGGGCGGGGAACCGCATGTGAACCCTGCCATTGGGGCATTCGGTGGGTCTGCCCATGGGGCCACGTAGCGTGTGAAGGGTGTGCCGAAACTGACATGAGTGGGCGGAGAACTTGATGTGAACCCTGCTCGTGGAGCCTTCGGTGGAAGTCCCTATGGGGCCACGAAGCGTGTGAGGTGTGTGTGTGTGTGTGTGCCGAAATTGGCATGCGGTTGGGTGGGGGCCGCATGCGAACCCTGCCTCTGGGGCTTTCGGTGGAGCTCACTACAAGCCAACAGCGCGTGAACGGTGTGCCGTAATGGTTGAAATGCGGAAGGCGAAGGCGACCATGGGAGGAAGGAGGGGTAGGAGGGAGTGAGTGAGGAACGCGGGGCGCTGTCCATTCAAAACGAGGGCCCCACACTACAGGAGGGCATGGAGAAGGAAGCCGTCCTCCATCCATTTAAGTAACTGTTGAAGACATGTGAAAAGAGTGGGCGCGGCGCCATGGCGGGAACCACATTTTGACCTCCCCCCCACCTTGTAAGTTGTGAGGCGGATGCGCGTGGTGCTACAGCGGGCCCCGTCGAAGAAGATACCGCCGTCCATCCTTCTAACTGCTGCAAGATGTTACGACGAGTGTGCGCCCCGATAAAGCGAAAACGCAATTTTGAAAAACACCCTGGTCACTGTTGGGCGCTGTAGCAACATTTTGCGACGAACGCCTGCGGCGCTGAGGCGAGAGCCCCATCCGGACTCACTCCCTCTTTGTTTTTTGTTTGGTACGCGGGCGCGCGAAGCAAGTCGAACGCCGAGTACGCTAGGGCGGGCCGCGCCGAAGCGAAGGAAAAAACAGCGAAACTACGCCGCCACACAGCGGGGCAGAGCGAAACGCAGCCAAAATGGCGCGGGAGGCCCCTCACAGGTCACTCCCTCTATCCTTGCAGCTGCTGCAGACTTGTAGCACGAATGTGCGCGGCGTTCGGGCGACACCCACATTTCAAAAACCACTCCCCTTCAGCCTTGTGCTGTAGCAGTCTTTCAAAAAGGAATGTGAGCGGCACTGGAAGGATACCCTCATCTTGAAAGCCACCCCTTTCCCTTCCCCGTCCGTGCAGCTGTGCCGAACTTCCAGATCTGGGATTATAGATGATGAAGAAGACTCGAGCGAAATGCCCAGCCCGCCCTACCGACACGTGACAATAGAGAGAGAGAGAGAGAGAGCTGTCTGCAAGGAAACAGGATGGGGCGAGCAGGTGTAAGACGATGAAGAGGAGGAGGAGGAGGAGGAGGAGGAGGAGGAGGAGGAGAAGGAGGAGGAGGAGGAGGAGGAGCAGCAGCAGCAGCAGCAGCGAGGAGCAAGGAGAAGAGATGAGGAGCCCATCGTGGGCTCGCCTCCGCCACGCGCTGGAACAGCGCCACCACGCTCTCCTCGTCCGAGACGTCCACCGCCAGCGGCACCGCGCGGCCCGGTTGCGCGGCACCTGCGCCCCCGGGGGGGGGGGGGCCAGCCCGGGCTCTTTCCAAGGGGGGGGGCCATCACTCGGGGGCTGCCAAATCTGTCCCTGGCCCGAGTCGTCCCGAGTTGCCCCCCAGATTTTCACGCCATTTTTGGTCCCCCTAAGGCCCGCTGGGCCTCGCGTGAGGGATGATCTGGAGGCCATCCGGGCCTCCTCGGCTGTCCTGGCGGCACCTTGGGCTGGGGACACCTCTAGCCAGACCCGACCCAGGAAGGCCGCCCACATGGGGCTATGCTGTAGCGGATGGGGTCGGAGGGTCGCAGCGTATCGCCGATGTGTTGGCGATGCACGGGCGATGTCGGGATGGGAAAAACGAGCACGGGAACACGCGCCGGATCGCTGATGCATCGGAGGTGTGGTGCGAACCTCCGGCCCCGCCCACCACGGCCCCACTTGGACGGCCTGGGCCCCCGACCTCCGGAGACCCCGAGGGCCTCTGGAGATCCGGACCAAATCTAGATCATCGAACCTCGATGGTCGAACCTCCCCTCCTCGAACATCGGCCCCTGGGACCTTTCCGAGGGCGTGCCGTGGCCGGAACTTGGGGGCGGACCCGGCCGTGGCGACGATGGCGCCCCCAGAGGCCCAAAAGGCTTTCGAACGCCCCAAAAGCCCGATCCACGAACCTCGATCCTCGAACCTCCCTGCGGGGACCGGCGGACTCTCGTCGGCGGAGGAAAGGGGAGGGAGACTTCGTCTCCACATGGCCCCCGAACCTGGGCCTCCTCATCTTGGCGGCGCGCACAAGGGGGTGGAGGGAGGGGGGAGGGCTTCTTAGAAGGAGGCCGCTTCTTAGAAGGCGCCGGCCTTGCATCTATAGACAAGGCCCGCGCCTTCTAAGAAGCAGGGGTGCTTCTAAGGAGCCTTCCCCCCTCCCCCTGCCCCCTTCTGCGCGCGACTGATCCTCTCCCGCCCCGGGCCCCCATCCCTCCTGCCGAGGCCGCCCCGGGTCTTCAGCCCGGGGCCGCGCCTGCCGAGACGCCCTGGGTCTGTGTGCCCTGGGGCCGAGCGCACCTGGGGTCGCGAGATATCTTGGGATTTCAAAATTTCCAGCCGCGTCGTGATGTCGGTGGTGACGCTGGATATGGGGTGATTGTACCATCGAGATCTGCATGTGAAGCTCCATGCTTTTTGATTGCATTTCTATCTTGGCGTCTAGGGTCGAGTTGCTCCCTGAGGATGTCTTTTGAACGCATTCACCCATAACGACTCTTCGACGGCCTTGTTATCGTTACCGCTGCTGGTGCCCCCAGCTCCGGCCAGTTGAGCTTGTAAGCGATGCTGCAATGCACTGGCGCTGTCGGTGTCGACGGGCACGTCCATCTCTTGTAACGTGCTGTGGATCCGGTGCTGCTTGAACAGTTGCTGGACAGGTGTGACGGGCGCGCGAGGACACCAGCCCTCAAGGAAGACGTCGATGTGGTATCGAAATGTCGCCGAGGAGCCTCCCCGGACTCCGACGGCGTGATTTCTTCGCAGCGCGAGCTGAAAGGTTTAGACCACCTCAGACCACCTCCCAACGGTGGAGGGAAGCCATCATTGGACCCTCCCCCTCCCCCCCAAACTCGAAGTTGGCTCGCGCGGGGGAGACGGCGGTCGAGGTGCAACTCATCAGACCCACCGCCAACTTGACAGACGAATGTGGCATGAGAGTGCTCGCTATTTTTTCCGAGGCCTGAAGGACCCCTTTCTCATCCCGAGGCTCTTTTGACCGTCCCAGGGGCCCGTGAGGGCCCCAAGCGACAGAGCATCGCTCAAAGCCGCCCGTCGTAGCTTTTCTTGTCACGACGCGACGGGAGTCTGGGTCCCTCCCTCCCTCCCTCCCCCCCTCCCCCCCTCCCTCCCCCCTCCCTCCCTCCACAATTACACAATATGAAAATACTCTCCCACTTCCCCTGATGGCGTCCCGAAGATATCCGACCCCCCCGCGTACTGTTTTTTACATACAGGATTCCCGGGAAACGGGTTTTCGCATGCGTTTTTTTCAAAATGCTGCTCTCGCTGAGGCGCCGGCCTCATTTCTGCTCCCGAATCGTTCCGAATCGTGCTCCCGCTGCAGCGTGGGCCTCATTTTCGGATCGGTGTTTGGCCTCCGTCGTTCAGGATGGCGTTCTCGCCCCAGCGCGGGCCTCTTTCTCGCGCGCCCATCCGCCCGCCACCACCGCGCCGCACCACCACCACCACCACCACCACCACCACCACCACCACCACCACCACCACCACCACCACCACCACCACCACCACGCACACACCACCACCACGCACCACACCACCGCTACGACACGCGTCCGCGGATAGAGAAAATCAGCGCCATGGTAAGGGATGGGAGGGAGGGGTAGGACGTCAGATGTGACGCGAGCGCACCTAGCTTGCCTCCCCCCCTCCTCGCTCCCTCCCTCCAACCCTCCTCCCTCCCTCCCCCCCTCCTCCTCCTCCTCCTCCTCCTCCTCCTCCTCACCTCCTCCTCCTCCTCCTCCCCTCCTCCTCCTCCTCCCCTCCTCCTCCTCCTCCTCCTCCTCCTCCTCCTCCTCCTCCTCCTCCTCCTCCTCTCCTCCTCCTCCTCCCCCCCTCCTCCCCTCCCTCCCCCTCCCTCCCCCCCTCCCTTCCCCCCCGATGTCGAGCACGATCAAGGTCGAGGAGCCTCCGACGCCTCGAGGCCGACCCCCCCCCCCCTCCGTGCCCCGCGGCGGCGGGGGCGCCCGCGGCGGGCTCCCCCGGCGCCCGGCCGGGACCGCATGGCGGCGAGGGCGCCCCCCCCCCCTCCCCGGGGCCACCCGAAAAGGAAGAGGCCCCAGGGCACGCAAATAAATACCCACAAATCGAAGAATTCCCTATATTTTCCCATGTTTTTTGGGTTTTCGTTTCCCCCCCAGCTCCCCATACTTTCCCATGTTTTCGTGGGAATCGACGATGAATACACAAATGAATACTCCAGATTTCGTAACAAGGGGAGGGGGGGTCTCATTTCGGGGGGGCTCTCTTCCAGGCTATCTTGGAGGGCCTGGGGGGGTCTGGGGACGATGTTTCGGAGGGTTCTCCCACGGGGGAGGTCTGGAATGGCTTGTCTTGGAGGGTCCAGATCCCCTCCCTTTTATTTCGAAATCTGGAATACCCACAGATCAAAGAATTCCCCATCTTTTCCTATATTTTCTGGGTTTTCGTCTTCCCCCCCAGTTCTCCATACTTTCCCATGTCTTCCTGGGGATCGACGATGAATTGTGCCTGTGTGTGTTCCTTCCCTCCTGAGAAAAGGCCCCTTCGGCGCACCGTGAGGCCGATGCTAAGGGCCGCGGCCCTCGAGCCGCCCGTCGGGGGACGGGCGGGCACCGGTCAGCGCCACGGGGGGCGGGGGGCGGGCGGGCACCGGTCAGCGGGCACGGACGGGGGGCGGGCGGGCACGGGTTGTCGTCGCTTCCCTCGTCGTGGCCGTCTTCCTCCTCCTCCTCCTCCTCCTCCTCCTCCTCCTTCTTCTCCTCCTCCTCCTCCTCCTCCTTCTGCTTCTGCTTCTTCCTCTCCCTCCCCCTCTCTCTCTCCCTCTCCCTGCTCCCTCTCCTTCTCCCTTTCCTCCTCCTCCTCCTCCTCCTCCTCCTCCTCCTCCTCCTCCTCCTCCTCCTCCTCCCTCCCTGCTCCTGCTCCTGCCCCTGCTCCCTGCTCCCTGCTCCCTCCTCCCTCCTCCCTCCTCTCTCTCCTCTCTCTCCTCTCTCTCCCTCTCTCTTCTCTCTCTCCTCCTCTCCTCCTCCTCGCTCTCCTCCTCCTCCTCCTCCTCCTCCTCCTCCCTTCTACTCCTCACCTCTCGACCTGTTGCTCCTCCCTGATGGGCGATGGTAGGGGGGGACTGGCATAAGGGGGGGAAACATCGACCTGGAATCGGCGATACATCGCCGATAGGCGCCCGATTCGCTGGGCGGGTGGGGGCTATCGGGCCCCTATCGACGATCAATGGGCGATCGGGGGTAAAGGCGTTCCCCTATGCCTGTCCCCCCGATCGTTGCCCCTGACCCCCCCCCCTGGCCCCGCTTGAACCCCTCCCCGCTCTTCTTCCTCCCGGCAACGTCGGCGGTGGCGCCTGCGGTGGCTGCCTGGATCTGGCTGGCCGTGGACCTCGAGCGGCCGCGCCCATGCACATTACCGCCCAAGCGCAGGAAATACCAGCCGGCCGCTCTGCGGTGAATCGGGAATTGCTCTCGGTGACCGTGCGTTTTCCCCAGACGGGTGCGGGACACCCTCCCGGCCCCTCCCCTGCCCTGTGGGCCGATTGTGCGAGGATGCCCCGGGCGAGGCCGGTTCGTCATGCTGCGCTGAGATGCCGCCGGGTTCGCAGGACGTAGGTGCAGGAAGCGCAGTTGCTGGCCTCGCTTCCTCGAGCGCCAAGGGTCAGGACGACGTGGGTTCCTCAGGCACTCCCTCAAATCATACAGCCGCTATGGTTGCGTTAAATAAGGTCGACATTGAACTTCAATCGTTGCGTCTGAATGCAGAGTCGAGGAACACGCAACATGCAGCAGCAGACGTCGCGCGGAAAAAAATGTGGCTGGGAGGCACGGGGAAGCAGCTGCACCCATGTGGGCGTCAGTTGGCTGTGCGCACTGTGTGAACCATTACAATCCTCGAGGTCAGTTCTGGCAGCTCGGCATGCGTTGCGACGTGGCTCGAACTGTGAAGGGTCATGCCACGTGGGCGAATTCTAGGAACAAGTAAGGTGGGGGATGCAACCGAAGCAGGTCGAGCGACAACGTGGCAATGTTGTCGCACATCTGATACCGAGAGCGGATGCCAGCACCAATTGACCCGACCACGTAGGGTCACTCCGACAACTCAGAGGGAACCCGATCTCTCTCCTGGAATCCGTGGGTGGCGGTTGGCATTCTTACAATGGACCTCGTGGTGCATGGATGCACCGCACTGTGGAAACATGCGACCAAGACTACAACAGGGAAATGTACGCTATACGCGAAGAACCCTGCTGGACACATGCGGTGACTGCGTGCGTGACAACCCACCCCGGTTCTCAATGTCAGTTTTAGCAGTTCGGCATACGGTGTTGCATGGCTTGAAACCTGTAATTAGGGACATACAAAATGCTGAGCCGTACTTGCTTCATGTTTCTGTGAGCGAAGACTGGGGACAGATGAAGCGACGACGACGTCGGAGTCAGAGGGATACACAATGTTATACACATGCGAGCAGGGATATATCATCCATTCCTCCACCTCTCAATCCCCGCAATGGTCCGCGCAGAGGCTGCAGGAAATATGTGTGGTGACACCCCATCTTTGTCGAGGGCGGTGTGGAGATGGAGTTGGCGATACTTGGGCGCCCACGCGGTAGACAATCCTTCCGCCGCGGAAGAGATGACAACTCCTTCTATCCTCGAAGGCAAGGCCGTCTTGGAACGCCCCATGTGCGACAACATCAGAATTCGTGGTGGGACCCTCCAGAGACCCTACCCCCCACGGAGCCCGCCCGCCCCCTGCACCTCCCCCCCAGCACGGCCCCTCGGTGGCCTCCACGACGGCCAAGGGCGGTCTCCAAGCCGGGCAACTTGCCCCATCTGGCCTCCACGACTGTCCAAAATGGCCTCCAGGACTGCCGCGATGGCCCGGAGACCCCCGACATCGGGGGCCCATCGTGGCCCCCCATATCGCCAGGTGTGGCACGTGGGGCCCTCGACATCGGTGGCCAAACGGTCCCCGGAAGCCGAGAAATGGCGGGCGAAGAAACGCCGGGATTGCGGCAGAGCCACTCCGCCCCGCAGAATCCAGGCACGAGCGCCGAGCGAGGCGCATCCTGACGCCGGCGGGCGCAGCGGGCCGCAGCGCGATGGAGGCCCCCCAGCGGGTCCGGGGCCCGGGCCGCAGCTGCTCGAGCCGCCTGCCGGCCACCACCACCGTGGCGCCCTGCCTCGCGAGCCCGAGCGCAATGGCGCTGCCGATCGTCCCGGGGGCCGGCGCGGCGGGGCGCCGGGCGGCGCTCTGGGGTGGGAGCTGCTCGGCGTCTCGTGACGCGGGGGGAAGCCTTGCCCCGTCGGCTCGCCGTGCTGGGAGGGGGGAGCGCCGCAGGCGCGCGGCGAAATTTGCCGCGACGGGGGGGGTAGGTCGCAATTCAGGGGTGATGGGCAGGGGGAGGGGGACGGGCAACCGACGGGGAAGATGGGGGGGCGCAGGAGCCCCTTCCGCCAGGGGATGCACGACCCCCGTGAAGTCCTCGTTGCACCCCTTTTCGGCCTGGGGGCCGCAGCCCTGGATCCAGGCCGAAAGGAAAACGAGCCTCCGATGGCCGCTCCCAGCCATTTTCGCGGTCGGGCGCGTGCGAGGCGACGACGCTGCAGCGCAGTAAGGAGGAGGAGGAGGAGGAGGAGGAGGAGGAGGAGGAGGAGGAGGAGGAGGAGGAGGAGGAGGAGGAGGAGGAGGAGGAGGAGGCTGAGGAGGAGGAGGAGAGAGAGGAAGAGGAGGGGGAGGAGGAGGAGGAGGGAGGAGGAGGAGGAGGAGGAGGAGGAGGAGGAGGAGGGAGGAGGAGGAGGAGGAGAAGGAGGGAGGGAGGGGGAGGAGGAGGAGGAGGAGGGGAGGAGGGAGGAGGAGGAGGAGGAGGAGGAGGAATTCGCGGCAATTCGCTGGTATCCACGAAGCGGTAGCGAATAAGCCAGCGAGGACCCCAGGCGGCGGCCCACGGATGGCGGCCTCCCGCCTGACAATACCCAGCCCTCTGGCCAGGGACGCCATGGGCGGACCCTGGCGGCTGGGGGAAAGACCCTTCTGAATTCTCAGGAGGTTCTCAAGACCTTTCTTGGTGCGGGTCGCGCACTCCGAAACAAGATGGCGCGGGTCTCCGTGGCAGTTTTACCACACGCCAAACAAACATGCAGCCCACATGTGGGCCAGACATGTTAATTTATGAGACGCGTGACGCTCCTTCCCGCCATCAATCACCGCCCCGCTCGCCTGCGCCAGCGCCGCCGTGCAATCTCAAAAGCCCGCGTCGGGGGGTCTCTGGCCCTGAAGGCCATGGGTCCAGGAAAACTGGGCCCCTTCCCCCGCGAGAGCGTCGGCAAAACCACTGCCAATGGGGCACAAACGCTCTGGAGAGGAGATGGAGGGGTCCTCAACATCCGCGTGCGACGGGTACCACACAACTTGGACTTCTCCCTCCCCCCTGTCGGAGAGGGTTGCACGAACGAACGCGAAGCCACATATCAAAATTGGTGCCCCTTACAGTGCCCGTGCCTCCTAGAACGCCACCCCTTGTGCAGGGCCGCGTTGCCAGTGACGAACCACAGCTGGCCAGACAACTTCCTGAGCGCCAGCTCGAAAGCTCGGATTTCAACGCTGGGCGTGGTCTGGCGGCGATCCCCAGGGGTCGTGGCACACCCGCGGGCCCGACGCCAACCCCCCGAGGCGCCCGCCAGCGTAACCGCAGCCGCGCCCACACATCGGCGACGAGGGTCGCCGCTAAACTGCCCGCCCGAGCCGTCTCCAAACACTAAAAGGAAACCGTCCTCAAGGACGGGGTCGAGCATCGCATCTGCCTCGCCCCCCGCAACCAGAGACTCGGGTTGGCCTCGTGGCCCGCGCGGGCCCGGGGAACTACTTGCTCGGACTTCTCATAGACAGGGCCCCCTCCGTTGCTGGAGCATTCCCAAACCCGATGAAACAGGGATTCCTCTGGGGGTCCGCAACGCGGGAACTTGGGCGAAACAGTGTGCCCTTGGGCAAGCTGGCGTTGGTGAGGCCATTGGCCGCAAGCAGCATCAGTGACCATCTGCCCAGCGAGATCAAACTCTCCGTTCTTGAGAAACCTCTGGGGCTGAGACCCGATCATGACAGCATTGGTCCCTGCCGCGAGGTCCTCGCCGTGGGGTTGCTTCGATATGCCTGCTACCAAGGCTGGGCCTTTAGATCCTCGGGTAGCTCACTGACAAGGTCAGCGATGACAGAATCGCCAGCGACACGATCACCCTCGATGTCAGGAAACTGCCAGGTTTCAAACGCGTCTGGCCCGACTGGCCTGCGCCACTCCGTGGGAGAAGCAGGGTCGCCAGGCCGCGTCTTTCAGGGCGGCGATGACGGCGCGTACGGGGCCACGACCTTTCCTCTACCAGAACTTGGGTCCATGCCCGAGCCGCCCAGCCACTAAGGGCCACGCCCAAGAAATCCTAGGGTGGAGGGCGGGGCACTTGTCCCAGAGATCAAGCCAGGAGCGGACCAGTTGCGTCTTTAAACTAATCTCTGGGTCTTTGTCCCCGTACCAAATCGCCAACGTGGTAGCGAGACGACGCCCTGGGCCCCGTCCAGCAACCGCTTGGGCCGCTTGCCTCCTGAGCTGCAAATTAGCTGACGGGGAAAGTCCCATGGCCTGGTGTCCGTGCACCGACTGTTGCAAGACCCCCTGGAGCCAATGCCCTTGCGACTCCGAGGCCTGAGACGCGAACCTACGAAACTTATGATTCTGAGTTCTCTGGAGCGGGCCCTGCTCAAACGTTGCCTCAACTGGACGCAAATCCGACGAGCCCCCCGACCACATCACACCCGAATCAACCGAACGTCTGGCAGGAGAAGCCGGCATCCCCAGGTCATTTAGGACACCTGCGAGCTCTGGTCCCAGACGGGGTTATTGATGACGGCCCCCTGGAGGGCTGCGCGCAGGGCCGACGACTGCTTCGCCGCCGTGCTCCAGAAGCCGTTCCTGCCATTGGCCCAGCGATCCCTGGCCCCCGACCGCGCCCTGGACCACAATCCCATGAGCTTCGGGAGGACGCCGATGATGCGCCCTCCTCCCGTAGGCTTCGGGAGGGTGGCGCGCAGCGTCAGCAACAGCTGCACGGGCCACGACCCCACCTGCTCCGCCATGTTCCTGATGGCGAACACCTGCTGCTTGGCGGCCAGGGGGAGCCCCTGAAGGTCGGTAGGCCCCAGGAGGACCTCCATCTTGTCGACAATGGCCTCGGAGTCAGCGTTCGCGTCGGTCCAAATGGGGGCTCAACGCTGCACTTTTTGCGCCATGATGACCTGCGGGTCCGACGTCCCGCCAAGGTGACCTTCGCAAGGCACCTCCAGGACCCCAGGCGGCCCGGGGTCCTTCACGTGCTGGTGGAGGTACCTCGGCTTGTTGACCCTCTCATGCCCTTGGCCCACTTCACGTACGCTTGAGAGGCCGACGTCGTGGAGCGTGCAAACGCTCGGGCCACCCACGTCTCGGTGACCTCGACCACCTCGTCCAGCAGGTCGACATCGGACTCACCATTGGGTAGCAGGATGAGGTCGATCCACCTGTCCATCTCCTCGGAGGTGGCCTTGCTGCCGAAAATGACGCACCGAGGCTGCCCAAGAGCTTGGGCGACCATGGAATTGAGACCAGCAGCACACCGCTGCTGCTGGTAATTGTCAGAACCATTGCGGACAAGCGAGCCAAATCGCACGATGATAGACCCAGCCGTCCACCACTCCTCCATCGTAGGCGACCTCATGTGAGTGCGACCAGGTGACGCCTT